TTCCTTCCTTCCTTCCTTCCTTCCTTCCTTCCTTCCTTCCTTCCTTCTCCCATTGGACTATGAGCCCCAGAGAATGAAAACCATGCCTTACGTGTGGCTGCTTCTTGGCCCTGGGTAGTAGCTCAGAGACAGGTGGGAATGAACCAAGATCTTGTGAGAGGCCCTGGAACTTTGTGATTTCAAACTCTGGTCTCTAAAGGACAAGGCATTGATCAACTGGAAATAAACACAAGCTATGAGAAGAACCAGGTACTGTTTACTAGAGATCAAGCTGGGGGCTGGAGAGATGGCTCAGGCTCACAACCAAAAAATAAGAGGTTAAGCTGGACATAAAACATGGGAAAAATTACAAATAGGGGCGTTGTTGGCGATAAAGACAGGCGCAGAGCCAGTGTTGCACGGGTGGGGTGGTGTACTTGGGATAGAGGGGGAGGTGGGGTTGGAACTAAGAAAGTCATCATATCCTAGAGCTTCCAAGAAAAGAGGAGGCAGAGGGCAGGAGTCTGGGTCAACACTGGTAAAGGCACTATCAATTGAAGTTCTTAGCAGGGATGAGGGATGGGAGAAGCTACAAAAAAAGTTCTGAGGCCAAATGACTGAAAATCTGTATTATGGAAAGGTGTAGAACCAACCCTAGGCCATGTTTCCATTCTGTGGAGCTTGTAGTCCAACCAGAGAGAGAGAGAGAGAGAGCCAAATGGCTATTATTCAATACCACCATGAGGTAAAAAATAGAAGCAAAGGAAATGGTAATTAAGTCAGTTGTTAAGAACAAAAGAATAATAGCAAGAGGGAGGAGAAAGGAGGAATTGGTAAAGGGGTTTCCTAAGCAATGAGAGAGAGAGACTGGCAGGTTTATGAGCAGTATTGGCTTGGCTGGAAGTGGAGAGCTGCATGTTTCAGATGGGAGACTGCAGGCCGGAGCCAAAATGTCTTGGGCCATTTTGAAATCTTTTGAAAACCTATTGTCCACCTCTGCTTCAGGCTTAACATTCTTGTGTCTACCGCAATCTTTCAGTGTTTTAAGGAAGCCACTGCCTTCCACAATCCAAAAGCTAAGAATGTCATCAGATAGCATCTGCAACCTAGAACATTCCCCTACTTGCCCATGGCCCCACCCATGTGTTCCTAAAGTCCCTTGATTTATGACTTTGATCTGTAACTAATAATCTCTCATGGAACCACTCCTTCTGTGAAACATGGTTTCTGGGGAAACCTGACTCCTGGGCCAAGATCACTTATATTTGGCTCCAGAATAAAATCTTTTATTCCCTTCAAGGTGAGAGTTGTGGGTTATTGGTTTGTTTGTTTTGTTTTTTTGCCACAACAGTGCCAAGATGCAGTGTTATTAAGACCATTAATCACACCAAGTCCTCAAGCAGTGAGAGATTCATGATTATATAAAACACCTTTGCCACGAGTCAGGGATCAGACAAAATTTGGGCAAAGAACAGTGAAGAGTTGAACAAAGCACAGCCAGCATTGCTCTGCAGGAGCTCTTGGGCCAACTTAGCAGAACTCATTATGAGGTTTATAATGAAGGCCTTGTTTGGGGCTTTCAATTAATGGGCAGATCTGGGTGAATGTTCCTGGCAACATATACCAATGGGAGGGAAGGCATGGAGGTTAAAAATCTCTGGGAAGCAGCCTTACCAGGCCACAGAGGAAGACTATGAAAGACAGGCCTGATGAGACCTGATAGGCTAGGGTCAGATGGAAGGGGAAGAGGTGCTCCACTATCAGTGGACTGGGGTTGGGGCATGGGAGAAGATGAAGGAGGGAGGGAGGATGGGATTGGGAGGGGATGAGGGTGGGGCTACAGCTGGAATACAAAGTGAATACATTGTAACAAATAAAAATATATTTAAATAAATTAAAAAAAAAAAACAACTTCAAAAACCAAAAAAACCATCCTAGCTTTCTCTCTCTGACCTGCTAGGGGTTCAAAATTGTTTATGATTTAAAAAGGGCCACCATTTCTTTTTAATCTGTTGCTGTCTCAAAATGAAGTTATATTATGCAATGGCAGGCCAGCGAGTTTGCTTGGTGAAGCTGTACTAATACTTCTAAGGCTTGGAGCCTTTCTGATGCTTCAAGAGCCTTCGAGAGAAAACTCTTGGCCAGCCTTCCTCAGAATACCACCTCCTGTTTTGTTTTCCAGGCTATTCAGTTTTAGCTAGACAAAGAGCTGCCCTTTCTGAGTTGGCTGAATCTGCTCCCAAGGACATGGGCAGTCTCAGTTTACTCTTAGAGCCTTTGGAAATTCTTTTGTCTTGTTTTTCCAGCTTGGCCTGTATCTACAGGTCTTTTCCCCTCATGGAAAAGTCAATAAGACATGCTCACTCCTTGGATTTCTCGTAGAATTATGATGTTGGAGAATCCCACGAAAGCATGTGGTCTGGTCCCTCACCTACTCTCAGAAGCAGATATACCTGACCTTGGTGCTGAAGGCTCCTTCAGCTCTGTCGTCCACCCCACCCCCTGCCCTTTCAGCCCCAGCTGTGTAAGCACTGCCACTGTTCTGTCTCCCCTTCCAGCTTTCCGCTGTTGTAGAGATGCTGTGCTTCTGTGCAGAGCCTGACTGGTAGACACATGCAGCGTTGGCCCTTGTTCAGTTGCTGCCTGTTTCTGCCACTCTCTCTCATTAAAAGAGAGCGAAGTATGAATGTGGGCTGGAGACAAGACTGGGGCTGTTAGCACCTGAGCCTGACCACAGCTCTGGCATTGAGTTGCCTGTTGCCCTCAGGTTAGCACTCTAAACACACGTTTCTTTATTTACTTAGCTATTTATCTATCTATCTATTTATTTTACTGGCTCTAATTAGTAGTTTACATTGTCTCTTGAGAACATGTTAAATATTGCTGAAAATGCAAAATATTGAAAATGTCTCCTTAGCTGTATAGAAGTGTTCTCTGGGGAATTTCCAAATTCCTTCACCTTTATCTGGTTTTGTAACATTTCAGGGCCAGATACCCCCATTTGCATGTGTCTGAGCACCTTCTGTTAGCGAATTCACTTTTCCATAGCAAAATTCATAGCATCACCAGGCATGGACATTCATTTACTGAGGCCGTTAAAACAAAAGTTCACAAGCAAATCCAAGAATGTGGTTATGAAAGCCAAGGCCTGTTGCCAAAGGATGATTGTGTGTGTGTGCACTGCTGGGAGATCATGCGCTACATTACGCAACATCTGACTGTTGGTCCCTGGATGCCATCCAGGGAGTAGCCGGACTCCTAGGGAACTGCTCGTAGCCCTGGTGGGAACTCATCGCCTTTGGAGTTTCGACATAAGCAGTCTCGCATCTGACAAGGCCCAGCTAGGGTAAGTCCTCTGAACGGGCCAGTGAGGAGCCAGCTCCAAGCTTACAGTAGGGATTCTGGATATTCCCAGAGATCTCCGAGGTATGCCATAGTGCAGTGTTCTCAATGCAGCAGCCCCCCGGCTTGCTCTGTTGAACTTCAGCAAGCGAGGCAGCTTGTAAAGGCCTGTTACATTTAATACCATCACACTGACCAGAACACCGGTTACTATCAGAATTCACTCGGGGTAAAGGCAGTTTGGAGAGTTCTGCTCCACAGTTTGGTTGGGCAGAAAGCAGAAGTGATGTAGAGAGAGAGAGAGCTGCCTGGATACAGGTCAGCAGTGACTTTATTTGAATATGCTGTATTGGTTTGCAGTCTACAATTAACTAAAAGCTCGTTTGCTATGGTTGGTGAAGACCCAAGTACTTGCTAAAGAATGTATTCTCAAGTTAGATTAAAGTGTGACTGGACATTCCTGGGTTATATCTTGCTGCAGAAGAAGACAGCTTTGGGATAAATGTAATCTGTCATTTACCCCTCTGTTTTTAAGAGATTAGTCAAAACCCTGTGTGCCAACATCGCTTTCTCTCACTGTCATAATGGGCTCATTTGCTTTCAGTATGGAGTACACATGAATTTGTCATACCAAATTACTTGAGTGATTCTGTGTTTTCTTCATATTTTTACTATATTCTCTCTGTGTATTTCAAGATAGGGTTTTTCTGTGTAGCCTTGGCTGTCCTAGAACTCACTCTGTAGACCAGGCTGGCCTCGAACTCACAAAGATCCACCTGCTTCTGCCCCGCAAGTGCTGGGATTAAACGTGTGCATCACCATGCCTGGTCCTGTTTTTACCATTCTAGTCATAGAGACCATTGCTGAACAAAAGATACTAATATAAAAATCTTCCAGATTCTCATGCTTGAATAAAACATATCAGGAAGGCTCAGACAGGAGGATTGCCTCAAGTGTGAGGCCAGCTGGGTCTGAAAAACAAACAAAGAAACTAACTAGAAAAATAAAATAAAATAAAATAAAATAAAATAAAATAAAATAAAATAAAATAAAATAAAATAAAATAAAGACTCCTTCAGTAGGAGTCTAACACACTTTCTTCGCTTTCAAAGTTGGTTCTAGTTTTGGCTGTGGACAGCTGTGGGCTCATGGGAAATGCAATCATGCCCCGCCTACTGACATGTCAGTCAGTGTTCGGCCATGCCTACAATGGCCCTGTAAGATTAGACTGGAGCTGGAAAATTCTTGGCATCCAGTGATCTCACAGTGATTGTAAGGCTGCAGCAGAAAACATTACTCACATATTGTATGAATACCTAAACTGTGCCCATCCAAAAAAGGGAGAGAACCATAACCATAATTATGTAATGTACACAATACTTGACAATGATAATAAATGACTATGCCACTGTTTTATGAATTTGGTATAATATCCTTTTTATCGTTTTTGGTGGTGCTGTTTCTACATTGGAAAAAAAAAAAGCTGCCTGTAGGGCTGGAGAGATGGCTTGGAGGTTAAGAGCACTGCTTGCTCTTCCAGAGGTCCTGAGTTCAATTCCCAGCAACCACATGGTGGCCCACAACCATCTATAATGAAATCTGGTGCCCTCTTCTGGTGTCATTACATTTTAGGTCAAAATGCATTATTCTTTAATCATGACATAGACAGAAATGAATAATATATTCTCAAATTCATTAAATATAGTGAATTGACAGAAAGCATCATCTTTAGCCATGTGTGATAGTGCCTATCATTCCGGCAGAACACTGTATATATAATAAATAAATCCTAAAAAAAACCCCAAAAACCTCAAAAAAAAAAAAGCTTCCTGTAAGAAGGTGAGTTATGTTAACTCAGCAACAACCTCACATGTCTCCTCTGGCGCATATCTCTGGATCACAACAGTTCCCACTATACTTGATTTAATCTTTTATTGTTCACCAGGACCTCAAAACCTGCTGCTAATTTCACCATCAAGAGACCAAGAGGAACGACAGACTTGGAAACAGGATTAAAAGCAGTGAGGACTACGAGGGTGGGAAATGAGTAATGGTTGTGGAGTCCCATTCAATCAAAGCCGTCATCCTGATGAACAAGAATAAGAGCGATGCAAGCGTTACATAATCTGCGATTAAGATGCTTGCACTAGGGCCTGCTTCACTCAAGGAGAAACTCCAGTGATCTGGACTATAGACCAGGCACAGAAGGCACACCGCTGCCAGCAGCATGGCATCAAAACCAACGCACAAAGGCTGACCTCAACATTGAAAGAAAAGGCAAGATCAGGCAACGGTGCTGGGTTTACTATTAGCCCCAGGTGAATTAAGCGGTTAAAAAAATTTTTTACTCACTATGTAATGTGTAAGGAATGCTGAGTCTCTGAATACCAATGTAAAAGCAGTTAAGGAAATTTTGGAAACTCTGCCTTAGTTGACTTCAGGGAAAAATTATTTACTAGGGCAAATGTTTAATGTAGATAAAAATCTCCTGTACTGGAAAAGAATGCCTGACAGGACTTTCACCTTTAGGAGGGCATGTCAGTGCTGGGTTAAAGTCTTCCAAAGAGATCACAGTCTGGCTGGAGGGTACTGATGCAGGCCACAGGTTGAAACCCTCTGTGTGACCTGTCATAGGGACTTTGCGCAGGGCTTTCAAGAGTGTCACTGCGCCTTCACTGCAAATACGCAGCAGGAGTAGCAAGCCATGGGAACACAGCCCTTCTCCCACAGTGCTCCCCTGAGCTGCCATGCTGGCCAAATGGAGAAACATGGCTTGGAGAAGGCTTTCCTTGGCGCTAATAATGTTCCCACACATTGTCCCCTTATTGGCAGCACACTCACATCGCAATATCGAAGTCTCTGAATTGCCCAAGCCACTGCTGTAATATAAAGGCACCGGTGCATTCTTGGGGCATCAAAGCATCTATGACTGCATCATGGCTTGCTTGGAGTTGAGGTGTGTAAGGATGGCGTCTGAGAGAAGACAAGAGATTTGCCCATGGTTTTAAAGGGTTTACCAAAGATGAGGAGCTTGCAAAACTCTAGCAACAAAGTGGACTTGGGCATGGTTGAGGATGACAGCTAGGAACTCCTGAGGAAGTGACTAATGAAGAATTGTTGGCACAAGCAGAAGAACACATAGCTGAATAAGAGACAAGAAAAAAAAAAAAAAGAGAGAGACCAAAGAAGTCAAAAAAGGAGAAGGCGGCCAAGAAGTCACAGAATTTAAAAGAAGTGTTGTAGCCATCCGTAATCTTCAAAAGTTTGGAAACATGACTGCAAGACCAAACATTTTCATGAGTTGAGAGGAATATTCAAGGTGTGTTGCCTGTTTAAAAGCAAATCTGTGACAGGGAAAAGAGGACAACTGAAGCAAAGCATCATGGACTGCCATAATGTTTTCTGGTGTCTTTATGTAACAGCAATGGCTTGGGCAAAGGAAAGAGCAGTGTTTGGAGGAAGATATCACTTCAGTAGTGTGCCGTCAGTGCCTTGCCGTTACAGGGGCGAGGTGTGGGCACACATTATCAACACTGAGGGAAACCTTGAAAGGTGTTTCTCCAAGCAGTGCTTTGCTGGCATGGCACTTCAGGAAAGCATCTTGGGAGAAGGGCTGAGTCACCATGACCAACTGTTCCTGCTGCACACTGAGAGGACTTGTGCTCCTCATGAAGCGCACCAGGCAAGGCCTTCGTGAGAGATTCCAGCAGAAGACATTGTTGTCGTAGGAGATGACAGCTCTATGTGTTATCACCCTGAAGACCCTCTAGGGAGAAGGTGTGTGAGGTCAAGAATACTGGCAGTCTGTCCCCGCGGATCTATAGGTTTGCATCTTGATTGTTAACCAAAAAGTACTAAAAGCAAAATAGTAAAAATTAAAAAAAAAAAAAAAAGTTTAGTTGGATATGGTGGTTTATGCCAGTAATCTCAGCACTCAGGAAGAAGGATCAGGAGTTCAAGGGTATTGTTGACTACAGATTAACTTTGAGGCTAGCCTGGACTACATGAGAGCCTGGCTCATTTTTTTTTTTTAACAGAAAAAGAGCTTATAGAATAAGGGTGTAAAGAAACTATTTTTGCGCAACTCTACGCATTTGCGCTTTTATCAGTGTTGTAAAAGTTGAAAGTTTAAAAAAGTTTTGGCAAAATGTACGAAAAGATGAATATTATTGAAGAAGAAATAAGTAAATAAATAAATACTAGTGTGAGCTAATGCATGTTGTCTGTAAAGTCTATAAGAGTGCAGGAGTCCTGGACCCCACTGACCCGTTAGGTTTGGCAGCCTCTAAGTTTGAAAGTGCGCCTTCACAGTGACTTTTCTGTTTATATAAACACACCCTGGGCCCTGTGTTACATTTGTTACATTGTGTTCATGCTGTACACTTTGTAGCCTAGGGAAAACTAGGCTAGCTCATGCACTCTAGGTTCTTTATAGGCTATCCCATGTAGGTTTATATAAACATGTTCTGTGATAGTCATACAGTAATATTGGATACTAATGGATTTCTCACAGTATATATATATATACCATTTAATACATGACAAAACATTTCAGAAACAGTAATGTCAGAGGCAAGGGTGAGGAGTAAATCTAATGCAGCGTGGAGGTGGGATGGAGACTCACATTCTCTGCTCACCCAGCATGCCCCCACAGCGGCTGGAAAACAGGATGTTGGTTCAGAGACCGGTGAAGAATGTTTGCCTCTGAGTCCACGTAGCCCCTGAGCCAAGTCCAGTGAGAAAGTCACTTTTCCATTTATAGCACTGGTTCTCAATCTTCCTATTGCTGTGAGCCTTTAATACAGTTCCTCATGTTGTGGTGACCCCCGAAACTCACAGGTTGAGAACTACTGTTTTAGGGAATGCTGCAAGGGTACAGAACCACATCTAGTAATACAAAGATAGACTTAATTCAGTGCGCACAGATACTCTCCCACACCCCCACAAAATATCCAAATATGGGCTGGGCTGTGGCTCAGTAAGTAGTATGGCAGTTGCCCAGCACATGCTATGCTCTGGGTTGGATTTTCAGGGTTGAGAAAGAGAAAAACAAAACAAAACAAAACATAATTGCTATCAAATATAGAAAACCTACCTACGAGCTATCTATAAACGACACCATGTGCTTTCCAGCCTCGTATAATCACAACCTGAGCCCCACCACTGGTTGAGTGATTGCTTATGATGCTGTTGGGTTGACTTGGGTCATCGACTACACAGAGGCAACAAAGAGGCAGTCTAAGACCCAGCATTTTAGATGGAGATCAGAAGGAGGCAGGAGAAGAATTTTAGGGGCAGCTAGTCTACTTACTGAAAAGGGCTGTTTGGATTTTAATAGACTTTCCATGGAATGTGAGGATGAAACTTCCACCAATCTGCTTTGGACACTGCTTTTAAGTAGTTTAGACATGTCTTAGCTACTCAATCTAATTACACAGTATAATATACAAGGGCATAGGTGTCCCCAGGCTCTGGCATAAAACCTCGTGATTATCATGTTCATAGACAAGTAAGGTTAACAGGTTTGGCATAGTATGGCAGGTTTAAAATTAGGGTGTAACTATTCTTTTGCTACTTTGTGGGTTCTTTCTTTTACCCTTCTCTATCCCCTTTCTTCTATCCTTTTAACCATTTTCTCTCCCTTTCCAACCCACCCTCCCTGCCACCACAACACTAGATAAGAGAGAAAAAAGGATAGAGAGGAGAAGAAAGCCTCCACCTTATTGTTTGAGGCAGGGTCTCTCACTGAACCGGAAGCTTACCAGTTTGGCTGGATTGGCCAGCCCCAGTTTTCCTGCTGTCTCTGCCTCCCCAGCACAGACTGGGATTGTGGGCTCATACCAACACACTCAGCTTTTTTTTTCTTCACCAGATTCTCAGCTTCTTGAGTGTGTTCTGGTGTCCTGTGTGGGCCACAGAGCATCAAATTCAGACCCTCATACTGCAGCAAAGGCTTCAGCCACTGAGCCATCTCTCCAGCCTCTCACAATTTTATTAATTACCTATAAATCTTGGATAGATCTTTAATTTCATCTATTATTTTTTTTTCAAAAAGTAGAACGGGAAGGCTAAGTAATGGTACACAGATATCTAAGTTCTTATTTAGTTATGTGCTTTATCAACTGTGGCAATTCTTATATTTCCTCAGGCTTTAAAGGTTTAAAATGATCCAAACGGAGGCTCCATGTTTTAACCTTTTCTTGCCAATTATAAAAGATTCCAATTCAAGCATTTTAGTAAAGCCTTGGGATATCATTTTGATCTACTGATTTCTGCCAATAAAGAAACATTAAAAATGTGGTTCAAGAGAACTGGAAAAACTCAGATTATCTGTTTGTCTGTCTGAAGAGAATTTTGTATGCCCCTTTGGCTTGGAAGATAAGTTTCATCCTAGCAGGTTTACAGGAGCAATATCATATAATGTAACATGTGCCTTTCTGTACATGACCCCAGTTGGGCTGGTTCAGGACTCTCTCACACTTGATTTGACACCTCTACCACAGAAATAACCTGAGAAGCCTATTGACTTTGTAAAATGGGTATATAGTATGAGTCTAGTCTTCACCAGAATTGTGCAGGTACACGTACTCATTTATTTTAACTTATCTTTTTCTATAGTTATTTAAAGATATTATGGAAAACAACTCAGCAGGGAGTCCCCGAGTTCCTTGGAGGCTGACTGTCTCATGTGCTCCCCCTAGTGGAGGGGGCACAACAGTGTACAGTCCAGAAGGAGAGGGCTCATTGGTAGACTCACGTAATAGCAGACCATTTATCTTCCACCGCCCTGATTGTTTGCAATGAAGGTGGATACCCCGAGAGAGCTCTATATCTCTGTCTGTCTGTCTGTCTGTCTGTCTATCTATCTATCTATCTATCTATCTATCTATCTATCTATCTAGGAAAGAAAAAGAAAAGCAAAGAAAAAAAAAACAGTCTTTCTTAGGTAGGACCTCACAGTAGGCAAGAAGATCCCTTTGGCCTTGCCCTCTGTAACTGTTGTCATTGGGGAAATGTAATCTGGCAGCCTTTTATAGTTTTTTATTTTAGAGTCCTCTCAAAATGCTCAGCTAAGTCCCACACATTGAGGGACTGGAAGATAGCTCCGTTGGTAAAGTGTCCGCTGTGCACTCATGCAGGTCAGAGGACAACTTTTGAGATCTCCCTAAATCATGTGAGGGCCAGGGATCGAATTCAAGTCTTCAGGCTTGGCACCAAGTGCCTTTCACCAGTGAGCCATCCTGTCAGCCTGACCAATCTATTAAAAACCAGAACAAAACAGAAAAAAACCTGTTAAGATTGAACTGAGAAGTTTTGCTCAGTTCTAGGTTATAGAGTAAAAGCGGTTATGCCATGCAAGCCTGACTGACTGGAAGGTTCACTTTGTATAGCTCTCCTTTTCATTAGCTTCAGAATGCAAAGAAAATGGTGAGCAGAAAGGTTGATACAGGAAGCGACTGACGACGAAATGAGCAGTGTGATTTAGTCAAAGCTCTCAATTTTATATATATAATGTCCTTGGTTTGCTGCTTAAGATTTGTTTTTCTGTTGGGGAGAAAATTTTTGATCCAGCCCATCTTTTAGATGCCTCTGTATACCAGTTAAAATGTGCCCTGTTTTTGTGGGGGTTGTCGGTCCAGCTAATGTGCTCCCAAAGTAATCAGTTTCATTGAATTAAAATTTCTCCATAATGATATTGTGTGTGTTTGTTTGTTGAGACAGGGTTCCTCTCTGTAACCCTGTTGTCCTAGAACTCACAGAGCTCTGCCTCTGTCTCTCTAAATGCTGGGACTAAAGGTGGGTACCATTGCATCCAGCCCATTAGGATAATTTCAGTATGATTCAGTCTCTATTAGGAGTAAGACATTTTTCTTAATCTACAAAAGGTTTGGGTCTATAATTCTTATACATAAAATTGTCTGGAATCCCAGGAGATGGCTCTGATTGCTTAAGCCCATTATCAAAATGTACCTACCTGAGCTTTCTAACTGGATGTCATCCCGTTACATATTGGATGTGGTTCATTTTGAACCCAGTCAATCTAAGAGTTGCTTAAATAGATCGAAAGACCCCAAAACACAGGTTTGAGGGGTTCAGAATCCAAGAGAGAATTTGGGAACAATGGGCCCTGATCTGGCAGTTCTGTTCAATCATTAGCACCCCCCCCCCCCGGAATTTTACCTGAGATCTCAATTCTGACTCCTTTCTCTTAGGAAGAAAAAGACACATTCAACAGGCGTTAACTGAACAGACAGAAGACTGATGAATCAGGGGGTTCAGAGAGCGCTACAACTCAGGCAGAAAATGCCCACTGAGAGACAGAGAAACAGCCTGCTGGCATGCGGTTCAGTATGTCCCTTAAGTGGACATATTCTGCAGATTGTTGTCTGTGGCTGGCAGAACACTTGTGATTCGCCAGGTTTCGGCCACTAGTTTTAAGACTATGTTGTCTTATTAGGTTAATTTATGGTAAGGCAAGCTTAATTCAAGATGTTTGAGTTTCTTGGGAGGGAAGCAGGTGAGATCACACCTGAGCATGGCTTACTCCCTTACTCAGCGAAATGCCTTCTTCGGAGCTACTTGTGCCTACTGCTGTTCATACGCAGGGACCTGCAGGCATGTTCCAGCTTTGGCTTAGCCTGCAGTGGTCCTCAACCCTCCTAAAGCCGTGATCCTTTAACACAGTTCCTCATGTGGTGGTGACCTCCCAACCATAAAATTATTTCTGTTGCTACTTCTTAACTGTAATTTTGCTACTGTTAGCAATTGTAGTGTAAATATCTGATTTGCAAGACAGCTGATCTGTGATTCCCCAAAAGGGCTCAGAGCCCACAGGTTGAGAACCACTAGTCTAGAGTAGTTGCTGAGTGAATGAAGAGATGTTTTTGTCATATTATTTGTGAAGAAAGCTATGACAGGGGACCCTCACTGATTTGAGCCACTGCTCTGAGGTGTGCTGTGTTTCTGAGCATGTCTGTTCCACATACATCATGCCACTCAGAGACCCAGAGTGCTCCCAGCCGTGCTCTGGCGTCCTTCAGGATGTGTTTGTGGCTGAAGCTGGGCCACTAGGTTACAGAGCTGAGAAAGAAGACCTGAGGGGTTCTTCGGCTTGGATTATGCGCACACCTTTTCGACTGCTCAGCTAGAGAGAACCCTTACCACGAGCTTGAGAAGTGCAGGTCTTATGTGGGCAACTGTGGAACAAACCCTACCCGTCACCAGGAGGAGAATGAGTAGGCACCACGTGGGCGCAGTCTCTGCTCATCCTAGCCTTTTAAATCACTCGGGTGCTTCTGAGTGGTGAGGTCAGAGTCAGCCACAGAGGGGGGCTTCGGGAGTGTGCATCCGTGGAGAGGCACAGGCCTGTGCCCTTGGAGGGTCCTGTATTAAAACTGATGCTCCACTGCTGACCCCTTGACGTTCTAGAGAGCTGCACTCATGTGCCCCCTGTGCGCCGTGTCCAACCGACTATGCACCCAGCTCTGCCCGCTGATTCCCACATTAACGTCTTCCTGCTACCCACTTAGTATTTACTGAAAATCTACTATGTAATAACACATCAGAAAAGAACATATAAAGAGCAGGCTCCAAAGATGGGTGAAGGCTCGAGATCTAGGATCTTGCAATCTAGTAGAGGATGACAGACGTGAAAGAATTTGTCACTCGAGAGAGTTTACAAACCTTTGAGATGGTTCAGGGTGTTTACTGCCAAGCCTGATGACCCAGATTTGACTTCTGGGACCCACAGGGCAGAAGAAGAGACCCCATGCTTTCCAGAAACCCTCACATGGTAAATGACTACTCCTGTCCCCTCCTTGCGTAGTCTTTTCTCCCGTGGCATCACTGTTAACCTGCCTCTAGCAAGGCTGAACTAAAAGCTTTCCCACATGTGTTCACTTTCCCACGTCCTCTCGTCGGCGGCAGTTACTGCCTCAGTGTTTCTCAAGCTTGTTTCCCACAAGCCCTCCGGGACTCCAGAGAACAGCCACATTGTGATTTGGCCTAAGAAGTACCGCTAAGGTGAAGGGTTCCACAACAAAGAAGACTATCCGTAGGTCTGACAGGGGAGACAAACTTGGAAAGAGAAATCTGCTCCCCTTCTTCTCTCCAGGTGCTTGGGAGAGTTGGGGTTAAAACGATTTGGTTTCTAAATCTCGGTACGTTTTGATGTGAACTGATTGATGTTAGCCATGATAGCCCTGCAGCAAAGGCGCTCCTTAATACCATGGAGGGGCGTCAGAACAGTCCACGAATGAAGCTGTGTGAGGAGATTTCTGAGACCTTGTGGGAAAACTCCACGTAAACAAGACGAGAGTCCTGCAATCTCCATTCCTCCCTAAAGTGGGCCGTTCTTGGAATGTGATTTCATGCCCCTCCCAGGTGTAGCGGATAGGAGAGAGCTCTCTTTAGATTATTCATTACCGCTGACGGTTCTTATTTGTTTATATGCGTCTATGGAAAAACATGTTTTTGTGGCGTGCAGCTTGTCCTTGTGATTATACACCTGGCTCAGGCGACTCTTCCTAACCCTCAGAGTATAAATTGTCTGATGCTCTGAATAAAGGTAGCTATGGCGTGAGAGTTCAGTCTACCTCATTTTTAGACCCTGCTCTTCCAGGTCCACACTGCCAACTAGAGCGGTAAACCGAGGAGACTTAGCATTTTATAACAAGGCCTTGGCTTCTTTAAAAGGACATGCTAGATGTGATCATCTGCCAAGATTCATCCCTGCTCATTCGTGTCCCCTTTCCTCCTGTCCTAATTGTACCCGAAGGGTGCACATTCAAATACGCTGAGCAAAAATGATGTAAAACTTACCTTCAGAGAGTAGGTGTGGACAGAGCTTACATGCACTACCAGGTGGTCGCTTTCCTTAAACCCTATGAAGACTCTGACGTGTGACATTACAGTGGTCCCATTCACTTGCAGTGTTGCAGGGTTTTTGCCTTGACTAGTAGGACTGTGCGGTGACTCTCATGGACGCTCACAGCAACTTAAGATGCACTTACCATCTGAGAAAGCCTGAAACTGTGCTGAACACTAATGAGCTTATGTTTGCGGGGAGATTAATGAGAGGAGTAGCTCGAGAGGACAGCACAATTTACTTCTCTCCCCCAAATAACACCCACGCACCTACATCCATCCCACTCCACAAAAGCAAGGTCCACTTAGAGTGAAAGTGACGCTAAGGCCAAAGCCACTAGTCAGGGGTCTGGGTGAAAAGGTGGCCATGTTCCAGTAGGTCAGTTTTGTCATCAGGAGTTCCCGTGAGCCAGTGAGCTTTGGTTTCTTTCTGGAGGAGCCTCCTCCAGTTCATCGTGGGCGCCTCCTGCATTTCTCTTCTGCTGCGGTGGGGTTGCTCAAATTAGCCAGTTGTTCAGGTGATCATGTGGGCAAAGGCTCCTGTGTCTCCAGCCGCCCAGATTTCCCTTGAAGCTAGACGACGGAACAAGCAACATGGAAGGAAATCAGACCCGCAGAAATGCAGCTGGACAGTTCTCATCCTGGGTTTCTGGGGCAGTAGAGTTTTGGGTTTAAAAGTATAACATTGTCAGTCTCTGGAGGGAGCTCTATGAAGGAGTGGGGATCCTATCAGGCCACCAGAGTTACAGGCTGCCTTGATTTCTTATCGGTGGAGTGAGCAAACCAGATGTGCTCAGAGATCCATGCCATTTGTGTGTGCACGCCTGTGTGCGTGTGTTTACATTTTAGAAGGAAGCTATACCCTTGGTGCTCTTTCCAATGGATGCTTTGGAGACTACGTTCCCCATTTCCCATGCTGGGGACCAAACCTAGACCCTTGTAGTAGTAGGGTCCTGGGGGAATGGACATTTTTCTAATTCAACCTTTCTGGCTAGAAACATCTAATTTCTAATCATAAATTGTAGGCTACTTTCCTGACCCAATACCATCTGGGAGATGGGGGAGTTGGGGGAAAGGGTTGGAGGTGGGCCTTTCAAGTCTAGCTTGTCCAGTTCTCTGGTTTAAACATATAACCTCTTACAGATTCCCCACCTCCACCCAGGCTTTCTCTGTGTAACCCTGACTCATTCTGTAGTTCAGGCTAGCCTTGAACTCACAGAAATCTGCCTTCTGAGTGCTGGGACTAAAGGTGTGTACCATTGCTGCCAGGCAGAAGTCAACAATGGCATGTAAGGCTGAGCGCAGACTCTGAGATGGTTCAAGGATCTCAGTCAAGGCTGTAGGTACTTTAAACACATAGGGATAAACACGATGTGGGGGAGCCTCTGTGTATGAAAATAAGAAGCAGACATCGTTCTGAGTGCCTCCTGATTGTCTAAAGCAAACGTGATCCAAGGAAATGATCCACTTGTTTAGCAGATTTTGACCAAGACCTTGTTGCTCAACTGTTTCTGTAAACAGATTGTGAGGATGTATAAAGCCAAAGCTCAAGAGATGTTTCCTAAGACCGGGTCCTTTGGAGAGCTTTTAAACATCCCTGATATGCCGATTTCCAAATAACAAAACATCTGTTCAGTCTCTGTTCAAAACCAGGAGCTCTGAAGCCATCAACCTGTTGAACTTTCCCAAAGCCTGGCTTTCCTGTTTGTTCGGAGAAGGCTGGGGATATTCTTTAGATCGCCTTGAGAAAATTCACCTGTTACTTTTTTTCAGGGTACTTTAAGGAAAATTATTTTTAAGTGGTATAATGTAGATAAGAACCTAATTCCTATCCATATATGTATGTATATATATATATATATATATATATATATATACATATATAATCATATAAAGGATTTCTGTGAACTTTTTATAAAGATAGTACATCATGAGGTCAGTTAGATTTTGAATAAAACATTTATTATAAAATAATAATTTAACCAATATGCTATAGTAGGTTCTCAAACATTGGTAAGAAAAAAAAGAGCGGGAGGGAGATGACAAACACGATAGTAACATGATTATAGCCAACAAGGGAGAAAGTTGGAACTGACCAGTCCAGATCACAGACCATGGCCTGGTCCAGAGGTTATCTGGTGTCAGCCCTGTAGGAGGGACTGTGCTGTTGGCAGCACACACCTGTCATCCCAACACTCAGGAGCCTGAGGTAGGAAGACCATGGCTTGGGGCCAGCCTGGACCACGCAGTGAGATCCAGTCAACAAACAAATAATAAATATATAAATGAATGAATAAATAAAGAGCACGCTGTGGTGTGGGGAAGGAGCCACAGACAGTTCTTAGAAATAATTTTCCCATCTGTGTATTCTTCGTTATAAAAAGGACTCGCGGGCAGTAAATGACTCTCAAAGAATAATTTTTCAACCCGTATCAACCGCAACTGCAAGACCTTGAAATGAGGGCTAGTACTTAGAAGATTGGCAAAAGCAAGCCACCCTGGACAGGCATTCTGGACATTCTGGGCTCTCTGGATGGTGACAGATGGGAAGACAGATTCAACCTTGCCAAACAGCCATGGGGGGCAGGAAGGGGGGAAGCAGTCATTGCAAGCATGACCTTGGAAAGACATGCTTTGCTCTTCAGTTGTATTTGACTCTTCTTGCAATCAAGAAATTAGTTGGCAGGAGAAATTCTATGGGAAATAAGGCTTTTTATATCTGTTCTTTTGAAAAAAAAAAATATTGAGTTGATTTGATTTGCTGTCCAGTAGTCGGGAAGGAATGGCTGAGTCACTCGTCCCTGTAAAGTCTTACGATTAAGCCTAGCCAGCTTGCTACTGGCATCAGTACCACTACTTTCTCTAGCTTTCTTCCGATGCAGAGAACTGAGAAGTGGGTGTACTCCTGATAAAGGAACTGTGCCCTGCCCAGCAGGACTGGAAGTCCATCCCAGCCATTATCTTGGGCCAAAACGCATACCTTCTATCACTTTCTTTTTTGGTTTTGGTTTGTTTGTTTGTTTCTTGAGACAGGGTTTCTTTGTGTAACAGAGACCTGGCTGTCCTGGACTCCTTTTGTAGATCGGCCTGCTTCTGCCCACCAAGTGCTGGGGACTAAAGGCGTGAGCTACCAAGCCTGGCACTTTTATCACTTTCTATCACTTCTTCCTTTTCCATCTTGATACTTCCGTGAAGAACAAAGAACCTGCCTCCTAAAACTGGTCCAAGTCTTGGCTCTAACCAGACATGTCTACCATTGAAGCAGAGTGTCAGTTAATTCTGATACTTTTAAGATCAAAGGTGTAACCAAGATGGGCTGTCAATATCCCAGCAGCCAAGATGTTTCAATATTCTTTATTCCCCTGTTTAATCCTACAACTTCAAGTTTAGAGATCTTTGTTTTTTACACTGTTAGCAAAAATTGTGTGGGACAATTCCTTCCAAAATTATCCTTGGGCCTAGGAGGTGGTATCACTAGGTAAAGGCATGTGCTTCAAGCCTGACAACTTGAGTTGGACACACACGCACACACACAAATAAATGCTTTTGAAGTATGGTTCATCCACACCATCCAAATGGTTTTCAGATGACAGTAGGGAGCCAATTCAGCTACTCGGTGAAGTGTTTAATTGAGAACAGCTGGGACCAAGCAAGGTGAATTTTGGGCACCACAGGGGCAGGTGGAGATGTGGCAAGGGCAGGCTCTCTGCAGGGCCTCATCTGAGCCTCAGAGGACCTCAGGCAGTGGGCCAGCGAGGCCCCTGAGCTGAGGCCCTATCTAAGCAGTGGTTAAGAGAAGGCAGTGGAAATACCTTGGCTTGCCAGCTGGCTCCAGCAGCTCGAGGGTGCAGAGGGAGGTCATAGGTCTCAGTCTGCTGTTTAGCGAAGTTCACAAATACCTGCAGGCAGGAGACGAGTAAGCAGATGTTTCCAGAAAGATGGGACCCTAACACCTACATGCTTTGCTCTGTGTCTCCCACAGCTGATGGACAGCCAGGCTGGTGGAACTTGTTTCCTTCCGTAACTTGCCACAAGCCTGCACAGCAGTGCCCTGGACAAGGCTTGCTTCCTGGACTCTGAGTAAAGTAAATGGCTCCCTGCTGTGTTCTCTGTTCCATATGCAATGTGGCCACAACTCTGCAGAAGGAGTCCAAGGTGACAGTCACCTGCCTAAGGGTGGCAAGAAAGCACAGAGCTCCTCCAGAGGTAGACACTTGCCTGATTCCACTGCACTGCTTTACAGATTGTCATTAAGGATCTTTATTAAAAATAAAAAATTGAAATAAAAAAACCAACCACCAACGACCCAGGAAAAACTTAAATGTTCACTGATGAATGAATAGATATACAGCGTGGATATAGTGAATATTACTCAGTCTTAGAAAGAAGGGCTGACACGACTCATTGTGGGTGTGAACCCTTTGGGGCATTATGGCAATCAAAAAAAAATGACAAGTACTATTTGATTACATTTATAAGAGGTTCACAGAGAGTAGACCTGAACTTGTATTTATATATTTAGTAATGTGTGTCTGTGTGTACTTTTATCTCTATAAATAGGTAGAGATAGTTAGATGATAGCTAGGTAGATAGATGATATGTAGATGATAAATATATAGAGTGATATATAAAGATAGATAGATATGGATATCAAAAATTTTAAAGAAAGAAATTAGAAAGAACCAAACATGGTGGCACAAGACTGTAATCCCAGCACTAGGGAAGCTGAAACAGTTTACATATAGTCCTGGATTATATATAACAAAACCCTCAAAAATAAAGTGCAGTGGTAATTTCCAGGGACGTCTGGGGAAAAAGAGTGGGAATGCAGTTTTTGGTAGACAGCATTTCAGTGACAAAAGATGCAAAGAGCAAAGATGGTCTGTGGAGACAACTCAGCCATTAAAATGCTTATCATGCTAGTGTGAAGACCAGAGTTCAGACCCTTAGGACCTTCATAAGTGCCTGGTAAGTATGGTGAACTCTAAGTCTAGCCTTGGACAGTGGAGATAGGAAATCCCTGGAGCAGGCTGGCTCCATTGTTATTGGAAAGCTCTGAGTCTGATTGAGAGACTCTTCCTCAAAGAATAGGAGGAAAAACAATGGACGAGGATTCCTGCTATCAACCCTAGGCCTCTAGATGCATAGGTGTGTGTGTGTGCGCGCGCGCGCGCGCACGCGCGCGCGCACACACACACACACACACACACACACACACACACGAACATCACATCCACACCAATAAATAAATACAAATAAAGAACAAATGTTTATCAAAACTCACTGAGCTGTACAATCAAACATGTCTATCTTGTTCCTTGAAAATTACACATGAAAAAGTTCATTTGGAAAGAAAAAGAAAACAGCTACCACCATGGACCAGCAGGTATGAAATAACATGTAAGAAAGAAAAATGAAGTAAAAATAATCAGTGAAGATTGTGGATGACTAACATATTGTTAGAAAAACTCTTCTGAAATGCTAGCTTTTACTGTAAGGGACAAAGACCAACAATGTGTTAAAGCTGAAGGCATCCTGCCTGCCTTCCATGTTATCCCTGGGTGGACTTGCCTGGTCCAGCGTGATCTGGGTGACTGAGTATTCCTCGATGAGCAGGCTGTCCTTGTGGGAAATGAGCAGCTGGAAGATCCTGGCCAGGGAGGAGGATGAGACCTGGAACTGGAGCATGCTGTGATGCCTCTCCCTCTGCACGCTGCCTGGGAAGTTGCCCTGGAAGAACTGCTCCACGGGATTCAAGTCAGGAAGCAAGTCATCCTTCGGGGATTTGATCTTCATCGTGACAATGTAGCCGTCTCCAAACCTAGCAAGTGCACAGGAGGCGCAGTACTGTTAGAAGAGTGCACTCATCAGGCAGAAGAGGGATTAAAAGCCCACAGCATCGACCTTCCATACATATTTAAACTGGGAGTGGAAAAGGGTTTTTGGCATCAGTTTCTGGAGGTCTGTGTGGCGAAGTCAGATGCACATACTTGCTGAAATCTAAGGTGGTAGCCACTGGTAGAAATCCCAGGCACACCCATAAGGACATATGGCTGGAGCACTCAAAGGTTTGGGAAGGCACCATTTCCTGAGGAAAGTTCCTGAAGGATGTTGACCTCTGTTGTGGTTTGGATATGTTATATACATGCAAGATTTTATTGAAGGCTTGGTCCTCAGTGCAGTACTCATCAGAGATAGGAACTTAAGGAATGAAATGGTCATGAGAGGCTCTCACTTCATCAATGAATGATTAGAGGTGGGGCTTAATTGGAGGAAATAGATGTGTCCTTAAAAGGAGTGTGTGTGTGTGTGTGTGTGTGTGTGTGTGTGTGTTTCTTCATCTCCTGGAATCGACCAAGGTAAGCAGGCTTCTCTATAACACATTGTCATTACCATTACAGTCTGCCTGAGGCCCAAATCAATGAGGCCAGACAGCCTTTCCTTCTTGATGTGTTGTTTTTGGTTTTCTTTTTCATATATTTTGCTACAAGGATATAAAGCAGGCTAGCAATGCTGCTTCTCCCTTCTCGTTAGGTTTGCTGGTAACCCTATGTGGATCAAGAATGGTCTACCAGGAAATGTATGCGTCAGTGGCTGGAGACTGTGATAACTTAGACCTGGTACAGTGTGTCAGTTAAAGTCTACTCTAAAACTTCCTTTATGAACTAGGCTTGTGTCTACAGTAAGATGCTCTTAGCTTTTCAGTTCCAGGAAATCAGTCATTTTTCCACATGGGAACACTCTCCCCTTACCTCTGATATTATAAGGACAGTGAGGAATGAAAGGGAAATCAGGAGGATGTCCTCTAGTAGTTGGGCATGGGGAACAGCTGACATGGGTCTGGTGACCTCACATGCTGATGTCCTCATAGATATCTGTGTAGCGTCCACATGGTGGCTACTGAAGAAATCAGGGTCAAGTACCCACTTGCCAAATGCATCTTATATATTAGGTCTTTCCTTCCTGACCCAAGTGAAAGATGGTGTTTTCCATGTAACTTGCTTCATGGACATCCCAAGATTTGGATCTCAGCACAGATAAGCTAGGTTCTTTGTCCTTTTCACCAGCTAGTTTGATAGCTTATATTCTGGGCTCTTGATAAGTAGGTTAAATATATGAGTGACAACTATAAAGCCACTCTTTTCCAGGCATATTAGAATGCAAGGAGAGATGAGCCTGTTACATTAATCTCATTTTAATGAGTTGTTATCTAACAAGCTTTAAAGAATAAGGAATTATCTGCAACCATTTAGAAGTTTATGGATACAAGATAATCTTGCTCAAGAGTACTGGTATAACTAGTTTGTCATATAACATATGGTAATTTTTTTTCAAACTCAATCAGATACAAAGTTGGTTCTCAAGCTTGGTTTGTATTCACTCTTGCATTGGTTATGGAATCTCATAAAGCAGGGTACAGTTCCTGAATCTGTAGAGAAATGTGGGTTGATGCTGGATCAGAGATGGAGGCCGTCCCCCATCTTGGGCTCTGTAAATGTCCCAGTCGGAATGCTCCTATCCAGAGACTCCTAGGAGCTTCTGACCGCAATCAATCAATCCCAGTAGAGAAGATCTCATCCGCTTTCCCCATCCCCATCTGCCTCTAGAGAGTCTGGCCCAGCCACTGTTAGCTAATGCCCGTGGAACGAAGAAGCAAGTGTCCCAAATGCCCTCGATGCCTGGCTGGTCCCATAGAATGCAGTAAAAGGTGTGCTCTCTTTCCCCCCCCCCCTCCACTTACTTGTACTTGAGGTGTTGAATTGTGCCCAGACACTGAAAGGCGCCCTTCACCATGATGGCCAGCCTCGTACACAGCGCCTCACATTCTTCCATGCTATCAAAGCAGAAGAGAGGAAGTGAGGCAGAAGGCAGGAGGACATTCCTCCGCGCCCCTGCCTCCCTGGAGACCGCTTGCCTGTGGGAGGTGAGAACCACCGCTCTCCCTTTCTTGATGATATTCACAATAGTATTCCACAGCATGCGGCGTGCCTGCGGGTCCATCCCTGTTGTGGGCTCATCCTGTGGGGCAGCAGAGAGAACGGGACGATATGGACTAGGAGTTGGTCTTTCTCCATCACTTCATGTTTCCTGGGCTAACAGACATGTGCAGAGCCATTTCCCAGAAAGCAAGGCAGAGCCATGAGCTGTAGGACACAGCGGGTAGGAGGGCAATGGGAGAGTACAGAAACATGGTGTAACCCCGTGGATCCACGTCAGCCGTGAGTGAATCAAGGTCAAGACAATAGGAATAAAAATAGTGTAATAAGAACAACAATAATAAAGACTATAGTAGAATTAGCCTTAGGAAGGGTCGGGAAGGGAGATAATTCAAGTAACTTTTCCGGTCCCTTCTATGTCCTGTGTCCTCTTAAAACACAGACTGCATAGTCTCAGGGATGCTAGTCTGGTCTAACTCATGTGAGGGTCCCCAGAGCCTCTGATTCAAATCAATGCTCTGGTCCACACAGACTTCCTCATCATAATTTCTACCCAGATACCAACATTCCCAGGAGCTGACAGAACTTTTCCACTCTGAGTTTCGGGCTTGGGGTCCTCAGGAGACTTCCCAGGCACTGGAGGCCAGACTGCGCTGTGATCAAACACTGGGCAAGTTTGCCTAAAAGGGGCAAAGTGCGAGCAGTCCAGACAAAAGCAAACTGTTGTCTTTTCTAAAGCAGCAACCCAGGACACGCCCAGAGTGAGGCTTCTGCCCTCACCAGCAGCAGCAGGGGCGGGCAGCCAATGAGTGCTATGGCTGTGGAGAGCTTCCGTTTATTGCCTCCACTGTAGGTGCCTGCCAGGCGGTCAGCGTAGAGGGACAAGCCCAGGCTCTGGATGCCCCAGTTGGCAACCTACGAAAGAGAAAAAATTTCAGTTGATGGGTGATGATCAAGTTAAGGCACCAGGCGCAGGCACAGTTCAAGGCTGTGCCAGGCCCAGAGCTCTCGCAGCAGCGCCACCTGCTGGCCCGTGCTTCAACAGCACATGCTTGAAGGTGAGCAGGTCACTTTTCCACTTTTTCACCTTTGGTCTCACTAGTGTGGCTTCCTTACTTCTGCAGCCCCCCTGGGAAAGAGACTTCAGCCTTCCAAAGACGACATTTCTCACTAAGATTTCCAAGGTCTCTTTGAGAAGACCCTCCAAACCCATTCACATCTGTAACCTTCCGGTGCATCTAATGAATATTTACAGAGCATCTCTCGGGAGCCAGGCGCTGTAGTCAGTGGGGACAGCGGTGGGGTAAATCATCATTGTTGTACTTCCCTGGTCAGAGGTGACAGATTTCTTTCTTTCTTTCTTTTAAGTTAAAAGGGTGATGGACTGTTAACATTTCCACAGACTTTGATATTCAAAACGTGTGTAGCTTCCTCTTTCTCACCTTCTTTTAAAAGGAATGTTTTGTTTTTTTTTTCTCTTCAGAATTTGCTTTATGTTTTTTAATGATAAGATTCAGGTTGTACTCTGTCAGTCAGGATTCTACATAAGCAAAGTTGGAGCCTTCCAGAATATCGTATCTGGGAGCATGCTATGTAAAATTAATTTTGTCCATCTGATTAACATGCCATCTATTTATACATATCTACTTTGAAACCAACAAGCAATTTATACATATGTTATTTTAAATTATGTAAAATGTCTCATTTCTCATTTAAAAACTTCCTCAACTATCTACTGGTGATTGCTGTGTAATCCAGTCTTTAATACAGTGTCTTTCTTAGGGGTTTCTATTGCATCGATGAAACACTGACCAAAAGCAACCTTGGGAGGAAAGGGCTCCTATCATTCATGCTTCCACACTGTTGTTTATTCTCAAAAGCATTTAGGGCAGGAACTCAAGCAGGGCCGGCATCCAGAGGCAGCAGCTGAGCCATGGAGGGGTCCTGCTTACCGCCTTGCTCTCCATGGCTTGCTCAGGCTGCTTTCCTATAAAAGCCAGGACCAGCAGCCCAGGGATGGCACCACCCACAATGAGATGGACCCTCTCCCATCAATCCCTAATCAAGCAAGTGCCCTACAGGCTTGCCTGCAGCCCAATACAAAGGAGGCGTTTTCTCAGCTGAGGTTCCATCCTCTCGGATGGCATTAGCCGGTGACAAGTTCTCATAAAAACTATTCGCGACATATGGTCATGGCAAAATGATTTTCCAACCCCAGATCCTCCCTATGACGCCCCCAAATCATCCCTCATTTGCTTGCAATATATGTACAACATACGAGCCCATATATGTACGCATATATGAGCACACATACATTATGTACTCAGTGCTGATTGTAAGCAGAGAATCATATCTTTTGTGTTTATTTACCTGTGTAACCGTATAAGCTTATAAATGCTTTATTTTCTCTCAATGATTTGTAAATTATCATGGTAATAAGATTCTACTGGCACATTTTAATGTTGCGTGATATTGCGACTCGTAAGGATATATTTCTTTTCTTTTTTTCAGTGCTGGGAATTGAACCCAGGGCATTGTGTGTGTGCTAGGCAGGCGTTCTACCACTGAGATATATGCTCCTTCTTTTTCCTTTTCCTAAATTTACATGATACCTCCTCTATGAAAGAAACTAGCTCCCCAAACATCAACACATTTGTTTGTTAACTCAATTCTATCATGTATCTACAGTTATTCAGAATTATTTTGTCCATACCAATATAAAAAGCAAATATATATATAAAAAAATAGCCCAGAAATTGAAGAGCTTTGCCCCAGTCTACCTTGTCCACAACTAAAGATAGATACCTCACCATCTGCATGGTTATTGAAAGTAGGCTAATGTGTTTTGATTTAGAGTCAACATTAGGCTTTCCTTCTGTTTTCACTTTTTTTCCCTTACTCTTACTGATTCTGTCTTAGTTGTGAATCTGGACAGCCTGGACACAACCGTAAAGTTAAACAAAAGGAAACCTCGGAAAAGTATCCCTCTCGCCCATCTTGCTTCCACTCCCCTTTCTTCCTGTTATCAAATTAACTGTCTGAGCATCCACACATCTGCCTTTTTACTTTCCTGCTTTCTCATGTAACAGTAGCATCCCACATGTTCACGCTCACGCCTTGCCTTTCCTCATATAATGACATGAGACATAACACTGGCTCTAAGTCCCTAACAGGCTGAAGAGACCATCCTTACTCTTTTCCTATAGCTTCATCAGAATGTCACATGTATCCACACAGTCAACTACGCCTAAATGTTTACGTGACGTCCAGTATTTTGTAGTTGCAATTGCAATGAATGACCTCGCGTGTAAGCATTTTGTGCTGCGGCATGTATATCCTCAGGATATGTTCCTTCCAGAATGTTGCCTGCACGATCAGACTCTAGGGCAGGGATTTCCTGTGTGCGCCTATCCCGTTCACTGCTCTCCCCAGATTCTAGGCCAGTGCTGGGCACACAATAGATGCGACTATTTTCTGGGGTGGGTGGGTAGTGTAAAAAATTGGTCAGCCCAGTTTTCTGTCTCTAAGTGATTTGCTCCATAGCGTAGGCATATATTTTGTCATATTCTCAACAGTTTTTCACCTTCTCAATTTCCTCTGATGGCACACCCCGCAGCCTGGCATAGAGGTAAAGATGTTCTCGGCCTGTGAGTAGGCCGTCAATTGCATCAAATTGAGGACAGTAGCCCATATTTTGATGGACGTCAGAAATATTCGTTAAAATGCTGCAAAAAAAGAAAGAGCAATTATTGAATTTCCTTCACAGAAGGGGTGAAAGGCAAGACCTTCTCCATTTTAGAAACACACACAGAATTTGGAAACCAAAGTGAGGATTCCTTAGTTAGAAACATGAAACTTCAGGAGTGCTGAGCTTTAAAACTAGTCGGATCCTTTCAGGTTTCCATGGCTAAGACAAATTGTATGCCTGCCCCTTGAGTGAGCAGTTTGCATCATCTGGCTTGAGGGCTTAGAAACAATGGTGTAAGAAATGACCAGTGAATCATCAATGGATCTTAATCCCTTCCAGAAGTTTGGGGGCTTGCAAAAGGTGATTAGTCCCAGTGGAAGTAAACTTCTTCCTCTGTGTTTATTGGCAGACAAATGGGGGCAATCAGCTACCCAGATCAGGAGGCTGGCAAGCAGCAGAATAGGTTTCTGACTTCCCTATCTGTGAATCTTTTACCCCACTACAAAAATGTATTGACTTGAACAACAACAACAACAACAACAAAAAAAAAAACTGCACAAAGATAATTTTGCCCAATCACTTCTGTCTAACCCTTTACAGCTTAGGGCTTATTAATAAAGGGTGGCTACAGTAGGATGGGATACAGAGTCCATTGCAGTTCCTCTCTGTGACATAAGTCATTCAAGGCATAGGTAGGTCAGTCGAAACCACCCAGGGAAACAAGGAAGGAATCTTGCCAACACAGGACTTATCCCACCCGAGAGCCCCAGTGTTTAAACCTTTGCTTCCTTTCTAACGTGTGGCTCAGTTTTACCTTCAGATCACAGGCTCTGTCTCCCCTGTACTAAAACTGGTGTCACCTAATAATGTCCTGTTACATCTGCCAGTGAACCCTCTCTCCATAACTCCCGCTCTTACCACTTCTACCACCATTTGCTTGGTGGAATACAGCGGGGTGGCAGATGAGGTACACTTAGCCATGGGCTGGCTCTATCTTTGTCAATATGTTTGCTTCAGACACACCAGGCATTGCCACGGAGGGCTGGGACCCCAGATTCATCTTAACCAGGGTCTTCAGAGGTTGGGCTGTGCTGAGCAGGGCTTTTGGGTAAAGGAAGGGCGGGGTGTGGTCTCAGTCAAGCAGATGCTGGGGAGCCAGCAGGAGTGCCTGTGTCCACACACAAACTGGAACAGAGTGCTGTGAGCAAACTCACTGTGTGTGAGCATTGCTGTTCCGGAGCAGCCAGCAAAGAGGCCAACCGTCGAGAGGCCATTCATCCTCTATGGCCCTGCCCCATAGAGGACGAGTCTGTTTAAACTCACATTACAGAGGCCAAGGGTGACTCTCCAGGAGCCAAGTATACAGCCCAGCTTTCTCTTTCTCATCTTTCCTTGGTCTGATGAGAACACGGATCGGCACGCAAATGGCTAAGAATGCTGACGATGTTCTCCTGAAGTCCCCCGAATGAGACCTCAGTTCAGAAACTCAACCCAGAGAAAGGGTGTATCAACCTAGGAGTTCTTAACCTGGGATCCATAGGCTGCAGTGGGTTACAGATGTACCCCAGGGCTCAGGAAATTCCTCAAAGCTTTGTAAGCTTTCAGAAGGAAGCTAATGGAAGGGTCTGAAATATTCTTACAGAGGAAGAAAGTACAGGCCTCATTGGTTGCTCGAAGGAGTCTATAGCCCAACTATGAGGAACCACCAACTTCGCATTTTCTAGAACTTTCTAGGAATCCATGCTAAAAGCACTCTTTTAACCATTACATTTTAGTTTGGTTTTCCAGCGCATCTATGCCTTGTGTGATTTTGAATCACTTCTGTGAAGGCCCCCTTCTCCGCATAGCTCTGGGTCTCAGGGTTGCTCTTGCCTACGACTTAGAATGACGTTCCATATGCTAGAACAAGGACATGGACTGTGGGGGACACCCTGCAACAGAAAGGGCAGAGCACTCACCTCTTGCCGGCTACAGTGGCATCACCTGATGTCACTGTGGTGTCCCCAGTGAGCATCTTGAATGTGGTTGTTTTGCCTGCACCGTTCACTCCCAGGAGGCCAAAGCACTAGGAGAAAACAGAGAACAGGTGTTGCCCTAATGACCAAGGTTATCTTCATTGCCAGCCCCCAGGCCAGGGTAAGAGCTGGGAGAGCCATCTTATTCCTTGGCCGCCATTACTGAGGTTATTGGCCATGTGCGGCTACCAACACAAAACAGTCCTAATCCTAACCAACAGGGGCACTAAGTGTGTATAACGTTCTGGCTTTGAAGACTTAGAACAGGAACGAAAAATAATCTCAGTAATGTTTCATATTAATTACATACTGAAATAAGGTTTTAGATATATTGGGTGACATAAAAATAGTAAATTTAATGACACCCCCCCCATGTCTACTAGAAAGTCTGGCTTTCACTAGATTTCTACAGTCCAGCTCTGCTTAGAGGGAGAAGATTCACGGTTAAGGGCTGATTTTTCTCGAGAGCTGTTTCGTGTTACTCTGTATGGTACCCACCTCTCCAGGGCGGACTCCGACACACAACCGATCTACTGCTGGACTGGAAGAGCCTGAGTAAACCTGTAAGATTCAAAGAAACTGAGCTGACGGCCAGGACCGGGGTAGAGCAGGGCAGGGGAGAGAGGGCGAAAGGCAGCAAGGAGTGGTTTGGAAGAAGACCACCAAGGTGATGAGGTCACACATTAACATGACACTGGGAGAGGAGCCATGTAGACGGCGAACCGTGACACGCGCACACACAGAACAGAGAGCAGATGCCGACGCTCAGTTGGAGAAGCTCCTCTGGAGACCGTGTGGTACCCAAGGTGAACGGTGGGGACAAGATCATGGGAAAGAGGTGACAATACAGAGGTGGCCTGCTGTTGTACAGGACAACATGATGACCGTGTGCCACCTGTGCGCTCAGCTTACAGCTCCAAGATAATATTGCCACGCCTGCTCCTCACCTTGGTTAGTTCATTTAGCCTTAAGATGTCAGTTTTATTTCCCCCACTAATAATTCTTTGTCTTTCTTCAGCCACATCATCATCTTCATCAAAAATGGGCTCTCTAGTAGGCTCAGCGATCCTAGAGGAAAGAAGGCGGACAGGATCGTGCTGGGCACACAGTAACTTTCGCATCGAGCTTCCCACCCAACTGTCTTTCCCATTTCCCCACTTTTACTCCCCTGAATCTTTCCTCTAAGTCTAGTCTAAAAACGGCTCCTGACAGGAGGGTCAGGGGCCATGGCTTCTGTTCAAATCACTCCCGGGTTGCAATCCCCCCTTTTCATGCATGACCTTATGCCTGTCATTGGACCTCTCTGAGTCTTGCCTTCTTCAACCATGTGAAGGGGAAAGAAGAGGGCTATCTCAGGGTTTTGTGAAGATGAATCCTGGATGACGCCCGGCACAGAGGAAAGATTCGGGCACTCTCAGGGCCTGGATGCCAGTGTTGGATTATTAAAAGCTTCCTTCTATGGCTTCTTCTTCCTCCAGCCTTCCCTACCAACAAAATGTCAAGATAGTTTCGTCATTTTATTTAATACATGCTCCCAAATCTTTCTTGGTCTAAGCTGTAGGTTCCAAGTCTAACTTCTCCGAAATGCTGTTCCCGGCAGGCAGGTTCCACAGGCCTTTGGTATTTGTACTGGCTCTCACCCCTGGTCTCTACCCCTTGCATGCCATTATCCACCCGCGAGCCTCAGCATGTTCTCTTGCTCCTGCCTTGCCAAGAGAATCATCCCTACCCTTAAAGGCACAGACACTTCTCTGGATATCTTTCTGACACCCTGTGTCCATTGTCTGACCTTTTGACCCCGATATATGACATTGTGTGTTGTGTATTCGTAGCTCTCCTTGGATGCATGCAGCCTGCAGGCTCTAAGTTAGACACGCCCAGCCTCGGATTCCAGTCTTTCCTTTCTCCCTTACTGACCACATCTGCTCTGTCACTAAGTCTTGTCTAACAGACCTTCTACTAATTTTCTCTACCATCTCCCAGTGCCGCCATCTATAACCAGGTCACTCTTCTCCCTTTGCCTCTCAACATGGACTTCTGCCTCAACTCTCATCGTGGCAAGATCATGTTACTCCCCTGGTTAAAATACCCCAGGGATTTCATGTTGCTCTTGGGCTTGAGTCCGAGTCATCAAGATGAGGAGTATTTCATGAGCCGACACCGCCTGCCCCTCCTTACTCGTCCCACCTGCCCACTCATCTTCCTGTCCCACGGCTCCCTGGACGTCCTTTCACCCCATGTACCCACCTTACTCTCTGGGGTTGTTGTACTCTTGGGCAGGCCTCCCCCTCTACCAACAGCATCCTTCTTTCTCCCCTCCCCCCTCTTTGCTTGTTAGTTATCAGCAGGGGTGTGATGGTGGAGTGTCAATCAGAGAGCCAGGCCTCTCTGACGATCTTTAGGACCACTGAGGTGTATCAGCATCAGAGTTTAAAGCTAATTCCTTAGTTTTGGTAATCAGCTCCACCCCTCTTCTCTTCTGAACTCCATGGCCAACACAGCAAAGGGCTGAGAGGCTCATGGATACAGGCTCTCACAGTCTGGCCTCACCTATAGCTTTCCAGCCATAGAAATAGAGGCAGACTTATTCCAGGTCTGGCATAATGCCTGGCCAGCATTTAGGTGCCATTCCAGCCTCTAGGCTGAAGGTCTGAGGTCAGAACTCTCCCAGACTCACCAGAAGCACTGCTGATTGTTTTACTCCATGGCCATTGTTTTACTCCCTTGTTTCTCCCTCAGTCTTCCTAACCCTGCGGTTAGGGAAGTGGGTCATTTATAATGCACCAAACCTTGCAGCCTCCCCCACCCTTTTTTTTTTTTTTTTTAACAGGTGATCAGACTCATCCTGAGAGGAGGAAATGCTAGGAAACAAATAATTGTTCTAATAGTCTCTTAGGGAGGGCCTGGATGCTCAGGCCACAGGGCCCTGGGGGTGGACATCTGATGGACATCTGAAGGGGTTGGACATCTGAAGGGGTTGCACTCGGGAAACCAAGCTCAGGTCGGCATGAGGCAGGCAGGGCGGGGCAGATCCTGGGAAAGTGCGGCTGGGCAGGAGCATAAGCTGGCTCACCTGCCCTCTGAGATGTCCTGGTAACGCTAGGGTCGGCAGATATCTAGATGCAGGGATGGAGGCTGGATTGCTTTTTTTTTTTTTTTTAACCTTTTCATAAGCCCCTGGGTGCCCTCACCCTCATTGGCACAAGATCCCAATGTTACTCTTTGCCCCATTTCCCTGCCCTGCCCTCAGGGTTCCAGCTAGCAAGAGAGTCTGCTTTGTCTCACTTCTTACAGATGGAAAACGCTGCTTTCTAGTGTCTTGCATATGCCATAAGGATCCTCATTTGCAGTACTGTCATCCAATTTAAGATAAGTATGTAGCAATTACATACTTAAATATTAGCAATTGAAACGAAACCATTGTATTTCTAAAAGTTGGTTAAGATTTGTCTCTAATTCTAACAGGCTTGTTCTAACCCATCTCTCCCTGGGGTACGAAGAACAAGCCCAGCCTGGAGAATGAGGAAAAATGAAAGTTGTGAGAACCAGGCTGGGTTGGTAACACTGTTTCCAGCCCAGGGTTGGAAACAAGGAGCTACCCAATGGCCTCTCAGGGTGTAATAAGACATACCACCTAGTGAGAAAAAAGTGGTGTTGAATGAGGAGGGTCAGAAGGAAGTATGCCACCCCTTCTATCACCATAGCAACCAGGTTCTTCCCAATCAGGTCCCACTGGAATGGGTTTGAAGAGTATTCCTCACCTGGGGATGGAAGCAACAGGTCATTAGCAGGAGTAAAATGTGCATCAGGCTGCCAGACTCACCCATGACAATACAGCTGTGACCCAGATGCCCAGGCCTTGTGTGAGAGGCTAAATGAGACCCCTTCCCCCGAAAAAAAAAATCAAGTTCCTCTTGGCTCCCAGGCCAGAGTGCAGGAGGGTAAAGTCCTGCCCCTGGCCTCACCTATAGCTCTCCAGCCATAGAAATAGAGGCATCCTATGCCCTTCCAGGTCTGGCATAATGCCTGGCCAGCATTTAGGTGCCATTCCAGCCTCTAGGCTGAAGGTCTGAGGTCAGAACTCTCCCAGCCTGAACGGATCCACGGTTGTGACCCACAGACCTAGAATGCTACCCACCGAACTGGGCATAGACGTCTGTCACAGCTTGGCTCAGTGCCAGATCAATGAGCCCCCTGCCCAGGCAGAAATGGGGGAAGACGATGAGCAACTTCCTCAACATGGCGTTGAACCTGAGCAGCGTCTGAGAAAGAGAAGCGAGGCTGTTAGGGGTTTGGAGGCTGAGGCCACCTGTCCCCGAGTGAGCAGGTAGACTCCGGACTCTGGTCTTCTGGCGGGCCCCAGGGCAGATGTGTGGACACACACTGGATGGTGAAGAACGAGGGAGAAAAGGAGAGGCTTGGGAGGCACTTGAAGACAACCCCCCCTCCCCAGGGGGCCGGAATGCTAGGAGCACAGCCATGGCATAGCATAGCCATAGCAGGACTCAGATACAGTAATCAAAAGGGATGCAGAGCAAAGACAGCCCTGTAAGCCACCCACTCCTCTTTTTTTAAAGGAGTCCAGCCATCTCCTTCACGAGATGTCAGGGAGAAGTCAGAGGGTATGGACAGGGCTTGTAAAATGGAGTAATTTGGCACCAAGGCTTCCTAGTCCTCAGATTTCTTTGGGAGCAGGGCAGCACATGCTAGTATGTTGTCATTTATAAATTAGAAAAAGTTGGGGAAGGAATATGTTTCTATGTCTTCAGAAAAACACCAGAAACTGGAATAAGGCGGAGTCTGGAGGAGGGAGCTGGGTGAACCGAAGTGGGTAGGGAGGTTTTTCGCTGTCACGCCTTTTTGTCTCTTTTAGATTTGAAGTCACATGAACAGAAGCTCCAGTGGCAAAATCAGTTCGCGTGTGGCCTTCTTTGAAATCACCTGACTATGTCATCAGGTGATTCCCCAGGAAACTCTACCTTCAATCTAAAAAGTTAAAATCCTGAGTGGAAAAAATTATGTGTGTGTGTGTGTGTGTATATATCTTAAAGAAGAGGCTTACAAAGCCATGGCACTCAGAGCACATAAATCAGGTATTGAGAGCAGGGAGTAGTGCTTGGTGAGGGTAGGGGAGACAGCCTGCACATCTGCCTACACTGTGTTCTCCATGGCTCTGACGACTGGCCTATCTGTGCTAACATCCCACTAATTAAACCAAGAAGCCACGAGAGTTCTCACCCGGTTATTCTCAAATAATTCCAGGATGAAGGTGATGGCGCTGCTGTTGATGCCTATGAAGAGGTTAGCGCAAGCCAAGGCCACGTAGGCTGTGCTGGGGACATCAAACAGGAAGGATGCGGGGTACATCATGGGGATGACCGCCCACCTGTGCAAGATGACACATCTCAGAGGGAGAAAGGCCCAGGTTCCATCTCATTAGCTATACCTCTGGATATGATGGGACATGTTTGGACTGGCCAGAGTCCCAGGGAGAGAAAGGAGATACTCCATTCCTTGTTCTGTGTGCCTCATCTTCAAAAGGGGTTGGTGATGCCTGCCCTGACCATCTCATGAGTTTTATGAGGAGCAAATGAGGCAGAAGCTATCTGTGAACTTATGAGCTATAAATCTCAGAGGCCACCCACAGTCATGCCCTCTGCTCTAGATAAAGGACAACTGAAGGTCCCAGGAGCTCATCTTCACAGTTCATGTCAGAGTTCACAGAGTCCATTTTCAAGAGAGATAAAATGGAGACCATTGTTCTGGGATGAATGAAGACCATTGTTCTGGGACAGAACCCACTGTTCTGGCAAGACTCTCCTCCAGCCAGGCATCATTCCTTCCTTCTTTATAGTATGGAGTCTGAGGCCCAGATAAAGAATCATTTGTCCACAGTTAAACGTACAGCATGTAGTAAGCCTGGGGTACACAGCAGCACGTTGTTCTCCATTAGATTGTTCAGTCTCTGTGCCCGCTTGTAGCCTGGCCTGGGATAGTGTTTGTGGCTTGGAATCCTCTGCTGTGTGCAGATAATTCTTGGCCAGCACAGAGGGAGACTCTACACTGGACAGCTTGCCCACAGAGCTGGGGAGGAAGTGGGGACTGACTGAGTCCCAGACTTTGGTCAAGGTCACAGTTGGAACTGAAGGATGTTCACGCTCTGCGGCACTCATCTCTTTATCCCTAAGTGGACTAGGACTCAGAGAGACCTACACGGTTGGTGCCAGACGGGCAGGTTCCTGATTAGCTACCACTGAAGCTTCTGCAGCTGGAGGCTAAACCACTACAGGAAGACCCACGTTTGCTATCAGAAAACGGCATCTCCGCCCCTGATGGCTTACCCATACAGCATGAGCAGAGCGATGAGAGCAGGAAGGTTGTCTGCAGATGTGTAGGCTTTCTTTTGAAATCCAAAGAAGATGCCCACCACCAGGCCCGCACTTACAGCATAATTCACCTTAGAGAGAGGAGACAGTAAGTCACTGACCCTCTATGACCTGGGGATCAGGCTCCTCCAGCTCTTGTGGTCTGGGATTGGGTCCACCTATTTAAACAGCTTTTGGTTAGCAGATACAGAGTTAAGACATAGGCTAAGCAGTTTACAGTTCTCTTGTGACCTCTTTCCTACCCCTGTTCAAAGACCTCCAGTGCCTATCTTTGAAAAAGAACAGATATGAAATTCTATCTGATCTCTCTTACTAAATCGGCTGTAAAGTCCTGGTGGTTGTTCTTTTTAAACATGTCTCCAGAATTTAGGAAAGCTTAAACTATGGTTCTTCTGTTTGAGGTGCTCACATGGCTGAGGTTAACTCTTCTAAACCATGCAGTTCTGAAGACATCAGGTCTGACATGGAAAGGTGGGCAGCATGGTAAGATGACGTCTCCACCAGGGTGAAAGCCTAGTGAGCATGAGGAGGGCATGGCACCGAGGGTACCTGGAATGGATGCCCAAGTCCCCGTTGAGACAGACAAGCACAGGGAATAGCTCAGCAGCCCAGGGCTCTGCTTGGCTTGGGCTATATACACAACCATTTCCAAATGATGCCTGTTAGCAACTTAGGACTCCTATGTTGCTGCACGCATACCTGTTTTCAACAATGGAAATGTTACTCCTCTTAGCAATCCTTTGACATACCCAATTGGAATTCCAGAACTTCCTCAACAACAATTTTGGAATTATAGGTTATGGACCTATATTGGGTAGCCTAGATTGGGTAGGGTACATGCACAATAAGGCGAAACTGTGTCCCCAAATGAGGTTGCCCAACTGGGCAAGCACATGATTAAAATCAGACGGGGCATGCGCAGTAAGCAAAGATTTACACAAACCTAGTCTGCTAAGACAGGAACTCAAGCAAGCTCCTCCTCCTCTTGAAATAATTGGGGCCCTTGCTAGCCTCACTCACTTGGCCTGCTGTCAGTCTTGATGTGTGTCTCTAATGTGTTCTATTGCTTACTTTAAATAATATTTCTTTGTTAGTTTGCAGTCTGTGCAGGATTTTAAAGATTTTGGACTCTTTGGTTGTGACTTGAGTCAGAGGTGAGCGCCACAGCTAGTGCATAGAGAGACTTCGAAGCACGGGTAGAACCCTGCGTATATACACAAATGTCTTCTCTGGTTCTGTCTACTTAACAGGCTGCCATCAGTGCTATCTTGGTGTCACGGAACAAGCCTGGTGCCCAGATCTTGGTTTATGAAAGCCGCTTCCCACTGAAATGAACCAGGTCCCTTGGTGAAATATCTTGCTCCAGGGGTTGCAGGATGAGCCTGGGTCTCTTGCCCATCCAGAGGCAGTGGGATACTCCAGGCAGAAGGACACAAATCAGCAGAACACAGCGGGCAGCCTGAAGGAGTTCTTACTGCCATACTGTTAGTTACCTCTATACAACAGTATAGCGTACCTCTATACAACAGTGTGCTGGTTAACAAGAGCTATGGCTGCATAGAGACACAAACAAGTAAGTGAACAAATGGAAAATTGGCTAACAAACCAGATGTTTGCACATCTTCTCTTCAAAGTTTCTGTTAAAGTTTTCACTAATAATAAAAGGGGAAAGAATAATTCTTCTGGCGGAGAAGCTGCGCAGACACCTTGTGAAGTGACAAAGCGAACACCCCCAGAACTAGGACAAGTTGAAATCAGACACAGACTGATAGGGTGCAAGGGGAATCCAGCTTCTGCACCTCGACACTGTCGCCAAGGACTCACGACATCAATCCGGTCATGAGGAGCCTGGGGTAACCCTGAATTGACAGACTCCCTGCCAAGTAACTGGCCTGTAATCTTCCAGTGGGTCAAGGCCATGTGTGTTAAGGGGCGGAGCAGGAACTGTCTCAGGTTGAAGTAGACAAAAACAGCAACAACCTAGTGCAAGGCATCGCTGTGGAAGCATGTCCGTGTTTGTAAAGGTACACATCAGAGGTGTGTATGTGTTTAAGAGAGAGGGCACACACACGCACGCATGCACACACTCACATACAAAACACCTTCCAGCCCTTTCCCCCTGACTAGCACCTTAAAGACTACAGGACGCCTGGAACTTGTGTAAAAGCCGTCAGCCAGCAGGTGTTCCATCAGAGCTCTGACAGCCTTCCTCAAAAAGCCTGGAAGCTCCCACTTGGGAGGACACAAACTAGCCAAACAAGGAGGTCACTCTCTGTTGTTAGAAGTAAGGTCTCCACAATAGCTGCTTCCCTAGAGCAGCGCCTGGACACCTGGAGTTGGCTCCATGTCCAAGATCTCCAAAGGACATCAGAGAAACGGTGTCAGGCCCTGTCGTTTCAGCAGAGGCTCTAAGAATACATTTTCCAAGCCCGAGAGGGGCTGAAAATGGTGGAAAGTGACTAAGATGAGGGTCACAAGGTCGCACCTCAGGGGCAGAGAGATCTGGACAGAATTGCAGGACTGTGGCAGCTGGCAACCAGAAGCATCAGAACAAAGAGTCAATAAATTGCTTCATTCTTAAAAAGAGAAAAGAAAGATACTTTCAGCTAACTCAGAAGGCTTCAGGCTGTGCTTGGCACTTCCTGAAGTCTATGATTGCTTCAACATTAAAAAAAAAAAAAATTATAGTGTCACAGGTGTGCTGAGTGGGTGATACAAACAATTAATTGTTAGCTCAACAATGACTCCCCAGGCATCCATTGTCTTTTTGCCACTGACTAGCAACAGTAATGAGTACCTTAATTCTAGATCACAGAGCTCAGAGTTCCAGCCAGTGAAAAATCTCGAGTGGCAGGAGGCCTGCCAATGCTGCAGCCACCATCCTCTGGACCTTGAAAGAATGGCCTGCAGGCTACTTTGCCAGTGCTTGGCCCCTTTATCCAAGGTGTTCATCCCTTCCTTGTAGCCCTGTCTTTCTACAGGCTCCAAGACCTCTCTGTGTAGCCACATACAGCCCAGGCCAAAGTGTAAATTATATATCTTGTCTTTAAAGTGGAAAAAAACAGGACCTGGGAAAGAGCTCAACAGTAAAGAGCATTTGCCATTCTTGCAGAGTCCCCACATTGGGTCCCTAGCATCTATATAGCAGTTAACAACAGTTTCAAGGGATCTGATGATCTCTTCTGGGCATGCACCAGGCATGCGTACATATAGGCAAACACACTCACACACCTAAACTCACATAAAATAAAAATATACCTAAAAAACAGAAAAACAGTTAACACTTCTTAACAGTTAGCTTTTTAAGGTAAGTGAGCCCAAGTTCTTTCCTGTTAAAATCACCATGCCGAGAGAAGCTGGTAGCTCCTGAACGACCCATGCACCTGGGTGCATGAAGAAAAGGGAAATAATTCAATTGCTGGTGAAGTCTTCCGGTTTTATATTGTGAGGTGACAGCTATGGTAACAGGTAGAGTGAGGCCAACGGAACATGTCAGCCAAGCCCCTGATATCCAGCATTATTAGTAAAAGCCACAGGAAGAGGATCATTCACACCGGTCTCCATGAGCCGGTATGTTTCAGCATCAAGAGAGAAGCCTCATGCTGTTCTTGTAATGTTGAGATAAAAGGAAGATCTCATGGGCCAGCTGGGGCGACACACACCTTTAAGCACAGAACTTGAGTAGCAGAGGCAGGTGGATTTCTGTGAGTTTGAAGCCAACCTTGTTTATACCTTGAGTTCCAAGGCAGCCAGGGCTGCATAGTGAGATCCTGTTTCAAAACACACAACAAAACGACTCAAAGATCTCATTATTCAAGACACCAAGAAAAAATGGGTTGGTGTCACAGTGTCCCTGTCATATTATAACTAGACTGCTAAAAGTTCCTTTTGGGGGGCTGGAGAGATGGCTCATCAGTTAAGAGCACTGCTCTTCCAGAGGTCCTGAGTTCGATTCCCAGCAACCACATGGTGGCTCCCAACCATCTATACTGGGAACTGATGCCCTCCTCTGGCATGGCGGTGTACATGCAGATAGAACTCTCATATGTAAAATAAATATATCTTTTTTTAAAAAACAGTTCCTTTTGGCCCTGTGGCCTGTAATGCATACTGCATTCTAATCCTTCTTTGTCCCCCACCAACCTTGTCTGTTGTCTGCTGATGATGAGCTGATTTCTTTATTTTTTATTTTTATTTTTATTTTTTTAGTTTTTCCTAAAGTTGTAGCTGATCTAATACAGTGAAGATCTGGTCACTTAAAATAACCATTGTGTATGTGCGCATGATATGTGTGGGTACACATGCCACAACTACATATGTGTGTGGAGGCAGAGAACGCTTTTCTGAGGGTGCTTCTCTGTTTCTGCCTTCACACGGGTTCCACGGGTCGGATTCGGGTCATCCGGCTTGTGCGGCAAGCACCTTTACCCACTGAGCCATCTCACCAGCCCCTGGATACTCTGAAGAAGTAAAATGAGGTTTCTAAGCGGTATTTCCAGATTTGGCAAATCAAAATATAGAATGCCCGGTTAAATTTGAATTTCTGAGAAAACAACCAGTGACTTTTAGTGCAAGCATGTTACCACGTAACAGTTGAAGTGGGAGATACTGAAGACTTTCGCTATGAGTTGTTCATTGTTTATCCTGAGATTCAAAGTAGCTATTAACTGTGTCCTGGGGTCTTCTCAGGGATTGGTTCCCAACTGGCTTTTTAAGAAGATATCAAGGGATGGCAGTCACCAGACTGTTGCCCCAGCAGCCCCGACAAGCTGAAATCCCTCCCTGCCCAGACATGCCTCAGCTGTGCCCTGTCCTGGAGGTTGGGAAAGGCCTGGTACTCACGATATCCCAGAGGAAGTTAGTCAGCCAGTAGGTGGTGGGGCTCACGCCACTGATGAACTGCAAGTGCTTGGCTTTTGTCACTCTCTCCTGGATCAAGTAAAGCACAAAGCTGGCCGGGACGAAGGACATGGCGAAAATCACACATATGGCCACCACAACATCCACGGAAGTGGTCAGCCTGCGGCAGGACCAGAGATGGGGAAGGTCAGAAACCTAGAGAAGGTATGTGTCAGGCTCTGGGCAGTCCTTATTCAGTCCTATGGTATGTCCCCACATCCCTGGCTTGAAGCACTGCCTTAATCAAGGCTAAGTGGATAGTTTTATAGGTTGCTTTTTGGGGTTGTGAGAACATTCTAGATAGCCTTCCATTTTATTACGTTTCTACCTGTGTACTATGGTATACACAAATGAAGACTTTGGAGCAATTCTAAAGTCTTCTTAGCTCGGAGGTTTTCTAAAGGCTCTTGAGTTTCCTGCAGCCACAGACAGGCTTACGTTCTATGAAACCACATCAGAGGAAATAGTCACGTGGAAACTCAAGGAATAGGAGGCGAGTTTTTTAAGATTGGTCTCTGGGACCACACAGAAGGCATTTGGCTTGGGAGCAGGTAGACCCTGAATCCTGTCTGAACTCTAGGCAGTCCTGAGAGCTTCCCAAAAGTTTGCACTTCAGAGTGCTTCTCCTCAAATCTCTGTAGCCTCCAGTAGCGCAAACTGAGTAGCACACCGAAGACCAATGTTCTACCTGAAGCTGAGACATAAGAGCCCAATGTTGAGGAAAGCAAATAGCTCCAAAGCATGGCTACCTGACGCAAATTAGCAGAAGCTAGAACCATGCCAGGGAAAGGAGCCTCACCGACTATTCCAGGTGCCAGCAGGCTCTTTGTGTCCCGGCAGAGAGGTTACTGGTGTAATTCGGGAGGAACTTGTTATCAAGGGCCCAAAAGTGTAAGTTTATTTTCCAAATAAATGGGGAGATGAAAGAACAGCCAATTTGGTTCAGGAAGCATTTGAAACCAGTCATTCATATGAGCCCAATGAAATGTCATCACTCAGCCTTATACCTCACAACACACACACAGACACCCCTCCCTTCATTTTTAAGAGAGAGAAAGAGAGAGAGAGAGAGAGAGAGAGAGAGAGAGAGCCCCCAGGTGGTGGCAGCTCACACTGTGATGTCGGAGAGCTGCTCCTTGGTCAGGTTCAAAGGCTGGCTGATGACAGTGATTCCATACTCCTCGGGGTCCTTGTCCTTGGGCAGGCTGGCACGTAAGATGGCATTGTGAGCCACGTTCAGAAAGCTGACCATTGCATGCCAGCCCTTGTTGTTAAACCACACCTAGAGGGCAGAGACAGGCTGATTGGATAGCTGGCCTACAACCCAGGCACCCGAGAGGGGGCACTGACAGGCTGTTTAAAGGAAAAGCTACCAGCAGCAAAAAGAACAAACGTGAGAAGGAGGGAGGGCTTGGCAGGCATTCCTGCCATGGGATGGAATTTTATTAAGCAGAGCAAAAGCTGTCAACCAATGAGCTCGCAGGAATTTTTAGATTCAGGTCAGGTACCTTAATGTTGTCCTTGGTTTCAAGATGTTTGAGGAACTCTAACATTTCTTTAGCGGCCTCTCTGGTGACAGGACCCTAGAACAGCACAACAAACAAGAAATGTTTCCTCTTTTTCCCTCCTTCTTCAGTACTTATGGTAATTTCCATCTTCTTTTAAGTAAGTCCAACACTTGACCCCAAACCCAGGTCCTTTACATACCCCGCTCACATTCATCATCTGGCCCAGGTCACTTAGAAAACCAACAAGTGCTTCCCCAGTGACGGGGATGGCAGGGAGCTTTCCTCCGATGGAAATTCCTCCGTACCTACAAGGCAGGAAGATGTCAGTGCCATGAGGCTCATGCCCACCAGCATGATCTCAGCTTCCACAGGGGTACTGCCTGGGCTACGAAGCAACATTGTTCCCCCTCACAAACCTTTCCTCTCCAAATAGTCCTCCTGCCCTCTAGACGTGAAAGCTAATAAACCCACAGTCTAGATTCCAAGATATGAGTGGAAGCATCTACTTGTCTTTCTAAATCTGGCTAATTTTTATTCACTTCTCTGAAAATTACATGATTTCATTCTTCTCTATGCAAATGCCTATGACTTCACACTTCACGTTTTCTTTGATGGGCACTTAGGTGGATGCTTTTTAGCTTGGCTGTTGCAAATGTGCTTCAGTAAACTTGGATGTGTAAGCGGCTCTGTTGTGTGTTAGCTTATGCTCCTTTGGAAATACGTCAGGGGTGGTTCTGCGTTTGGAGAAACCTCTACACTGACTTCCGGAGTGTCTGAATGTACATCCTCAGACATGGTGCACAGGGTTCCTTTCCTCTCTGTAGCCTCGACTGCATTTGTAGTTATTTGTCTTCTTCATGACAGCCATTCTCACTGGGGAGAGATGGAATTTCAGTGTAGTTTTGATTTGCATTTCCTTGGCAGCTAAGGATGTTGAGCATCTTCCATGTATTTACTGGCCGCTTGTATTTCTTTTAAGAAAAGTGTTCATTTCATTGTTAGTTCATTAGGTTTGTTTTGTTTTGTTTTGTTTTTTATTTAACATTGTGAGTTCTGTATACATTGTGGCTATCAGTCCCTTGTTGGATGAATATTGTTAAAATTTTCCTTCCATTCTGGAGGCTGTCTCTTTCTTGCTGTAATTATTTTCTTTGTTGTATAGAAACCTTCAATCTGCTCTTCTACCCCGAGGTGTCGGAAACCCTTTGCCTGCACGTATATTTTGAAGTAGTTTCCCGTTAGTTGTTTCAAAGTTTCAGGACTTGTCTTAAGACGTATTTCCAAGGGGATATAAGTTAAGTTACCATTTTGAATCAATTTTTTTGTATAGAGTGAGAAAGGAAGATCTAGTTTCAGCTGTCTCCAGGGGATAACTAGTTATCCCAGCACCATGTATTAAAGAGGTATCTTTTTTCCAGTATTTATATATATTTTTTTCTCCAGTGTGTGTGGGGGAAATATATATATATATATGGCATCATTGTCAAAAACCAAGTGGCCGTAGCTGTGTGAGTTTAAGGGTGAGTACTCTATTTATTTTACCCCATTGGTCCATGTGTATATTTTTTTAAATTTATTTTTCAGAGTATAATACAACGACATCATTTCATCTTTCCCTTTCCTCCCTCCCAAACCTCCCACATGCCCATCCTCACTCTCACATTCACGGCCTCTTCTTTCATTAATCATTGCATGCATTTGTGAACATGCATATACGTATCTTTGAGCCAGCATTATCATGACCTGAAGTCATGGTGTTGTGATATCTTCATCATTGCCCGTTCCTGGCCTGTTTCCACTTGAAAATTCTCTGAACCTCTGAAACCACTTGAGCCTCCAGGATGCTCAAAGAACATGGTGGATTCTGGAGTTGGGTTGGATCTCTCGAAACTTAAATGTAACAGGCCAGGAAACATCCACACTCATGATCTGGGGTCCTAATGTCTCATAAAAACTTGTCTCTTGCCAGGCATGGTGGTGCATGCCTTGAATTCCAGAACTTGGGAGGCAGAGTCAGGTGGATCTCTGTGAGTTTAAGGCCAGCCTGATCTCTATCTATGGCGAGTTCCAGGACCATAAGTTTCTGGTGTCTGTCTCACGTGAAAGGTAGGAGGACCTCCCAGATCAGAACATTTGAAAACTTCCCAGGTCAACACTGTAAGAGTGACTGTGTGGAAAGAGTGCCACCTACTGAAATGAACTTCCGAGGTCCCCTCCAAGGGCTGATTTCCCAGACTTAGTCAGTGCTGCCCTAACATATTTAGCTGAGAGAGAGAGAGAGAGAGAGATAGAGATAGAGATAGAGATAGAGATAGAGATAGAGAGAGATTGCTGCACAGTGCGCGTGAAATCATATTATCTTCACCCTCAGCATCAACTAAGTTCACGACCTAGCAGTCACACCTAACTGCTTCAGCACTCCCAAATAGTTTCTTACCTCTGTTCATTGACCCAGTATTTGCTCTTTAAGCTGAAAAGCAAAATAAAGTCACGTAATACATACCATAAGGATAGCATTAGCATTGCCTTTTCTTTCTGGTCATTGGGACGTCTCTGTCCTAGGTATGTTTTTGCATTTCCTGGTATCTAAGCAATGTAGAGTGGAAGCTGGCATGCCTGGAGACCCAGGGGTATCCCTACAGGGAGAAAGGACTGCTATCTTCTAACCCTGGCTCTCCCGGTTGCCTCCTGCATGCTGGACCTTCTGATTAGCCCTTTGGTGAGGCCTCATGCTGGACCGGTGAACTCACTGTGGACCTAGAAATCATGGCAACCATCATGCCAGTGTGGAGTAAAGCTTGAAGCTTCCCCCTCCCCCCTTCACAGCACACAAGAAATTCTAATAATCACCCATGCCCTTGGTGAAAGTTCTAACTTACTCCATTGCATTCAGTCAATACACTGACTTTTGGGCATTTGAAGGTATGATAACATGGTGAGGAAACTCTAGTCCCTAGAGTTCAAGCTGGCCCTGAACTGTCATTGTCATCAGCCATTAAGTAAAAATCAAAACTTCTAGATTGCAAGTTTGCTATTGAGCCAGGTTTAGAGTGGTCTGTTGCTTATTGAATTAAGGAGTAAACTCTCCTCCTCCTCCGCTTCTGTTTTTGGATTGGGCAATGTTTGTTTGTTGGTGTTTCGTTTCATCTGTTTGTTGGTTTTCCACCACTAACTTGGCTCTGCTCTCCCAGCAGCTGTTTACACCATCTGCACTTTTCTCCAGCCCCTTAGGTCCGTGTAAGGCTTATTCAGACTGTGGTATGGGAGGCGACTGTTACACTGCTAACACCACACAGTTTGCTTCCTTTGCAAACCATAGGGCACTTGCGGAGTGGATCACACTTCCTTAGGGCTCTTTCTGGCGGGGTGCTTTCGTCAAGCTGCCTACCGTGATGGGGCTGCTGACGGTCTTGATAAGAACAGCGGCAGAGCGAGAGATTTAGATAGTAAAGTGTCTGCGGATATGTTCAAGGGTGGTGGTGACAGGTGATAATGAGTGTAACAAGAGCTAGTGCCTGACCCAGGGGCGTGGAACCAGATGCTGTCCCCTGGTCTCTTGCTGTCCCCTTGTCTTTCCTCTCTCAATCTCCTTTTGCTTCTCTTTCTTTTGTCCTCCCCTTTATTTTAAGATTTTTTTTTAAATGCACATTGATGTTTTGATGACATGTATGTCTATGTGAGGGTGTCAGATCCTCTGGAATTGGAGTTACAGACAGTGGGCTGTTATGTGGGTACTGGGAACTGAACCCGGGTCCTCTGGAAGAGTAGCCACTGCCCTTAACTGCTGAGCCATCTCTCCAGCACCGCTTTCTTCACTTTTACTCTTCAACTTCCCCTCTTTTCTCCCTACCCCTACAAACTTCATCTCTCTTTCTCGTCTCCTTAAGGTATAAGGCTTCCTTATGGAATACATTTTTTTTTGTGTGTGTGTGATACTTAAAATGCCGCCCGAGAGAAACTTTGACTATTAATCTTACACTCTTAAGAGACAGCTCAGTTATTTTTTTTCTTCTGTGAGGCCCTCACATTCTGCTGATACCCTCAAGGGTCAGCAGTGGGGAACTGACTTTCTGCCATGGTTGATATTGTTGCTAGGCAGCCAAGGACTACAAGCGTGACTGGGTCTCCTACCTGCTTCTTATGAGAGCAGGATACGTTTTTACCAAGTAGTCGGAGATGTTCCTGTTAGTGAGGTCTTGCAGGACTTCGGTGCTGCGCTGTATCCTCTGGGGCAAAGAGACACGGTGAAGATGTGGGGATTGAGACCTTAGAGTTTGTGAAACTGATGTTCTTCTCCAAAAAGCATTATCGACTCAGAAGCTAGGAAACACTGAACCGAAGCCCTGGCGGCTTCCCCATTCCTATATCGTGAGGTGGGAGTCATCGTTGGTCCCGCCCCTTTTCCTCTCAATCCATCTATCGGCAGAGAGCTTAACTGCAGAACCAACCTCCAACATATCTGTCTTTTGCTCTCTGATCCTGTCATCCCAATCTAAGCCACCACCTAGACCTTGCCTAGACCTCTCCAGAACCTTCCCTGCTGTTTCCATGACTCCATCCACTGTCAGATTGAGTTTTAGAGATAAAAACCATCCATCAATCACCTCATGTACCTTCCTAGTGCTCATCTCACAGGAAACATTCCTTTGTCTGAATCAACTCAGTGCCTCTGTACTAGCCCACGTATGACATTGTCTCTGTGAAAGCAGAGTCCTTCTCTGACTTTCGGTTTCCACACTCCTAGTACCCAGCGTGCAGCTATAAAATAATATATCTGTAATGCAAATTAAATAATTTGAATAACACTTTATATGTTTTAAATCACTTTCAAAATATATCCTGAGATTTGGGGGAATTCAAAATTGCTAGATATTTGGCCACCAGATGGCAATATCACACAGTGTTGAGTTTCTTGGGTTAGTGGATGGCATAGGTCAGTCAAGAGCCTTGGGCAATGCTCCTTGATCACTTCTCTCTGGAGGAGTGACCTTGCCAGCCCAGAGAGGATGAGGATCCAGACAGTCCTGATAGGATCTGATAGGCTAGGGTCAGACAGTATGGGAGGAGGATTTCCCTATCAGTGGACTAGGGGAGAAGGATAGGGGAGAAAGAAGAAGGAGATGAGGGAGGGGGCTACAACCAGGATACAAAGTGAATAAATGGTAAAAAAAACAAAAACAAAAAACAAAACAAAACAAACAAACATGGGCAAAAGCGTGCACTCTGTCCAGATTGCCACACAGAAGTGGCTGACAGGATTAACCTATCAGGTATTAAATCACCATCAAAATGAATTTATTTTTCATATGTTTTCTAGATCCCTCCCTTTCCCCATGTGATTCCTGCTTTAATTCACATTCTTCGTCACAGGCCTTCTCTGCTAGGTGAAGAAGTAGCAGTCCCTGCACGCCCGCAGTGTAGCAGGGGCTGTGGCAAATCTCTGTGTGCAGGATCCCACTTCTTGCTTTCAGAAAAGAGCACTTTACCAAGAAAGGGGAGTTAAGAAAAGTGGGCCAACTTGTGTGTGGTTGGCCTAAGCTGAGGACCACCCGCATCTGACTCCACTCTACCTGTTCTTCGAATTGGCCACAGTTCCTAACCAAGCAACCCGGGCAGCGGGCCGCAACAATTCCTGATGCCTGGGACAGTTTGTGATGGACTGTTCTCTGAAACTTCCAAACACAACATTCCTGCTTTGCGTCGGTTTGGAGTAGAAGTCAGGGATGGGGCACATCACGACGCTGTCAAAGGGATGTTGGAGCAGGAAGGACTCCTGCAGAGCATGGTATCTGCTGCCCTGACCATCCAGATGCCGTTACTGCCAGTTCCCATTCGCCACCTCTGAACTAGGGCCTTCCCTCTTAATGAGGAGCGGCAGGGGTGAAATGCAGACCTGCCTAGCTTCTTCCAGGACTGAGCTTTTCCCTAAGGACCAAAGGCCAATGCTACTCTGAAGGTGAGTTTCTAAGTTATACAGGCAGGGAAGGCACCTCTGTGTAGCAGGGTTTGAACTTTTCTTTTCCCTGCCCAAATTCTAGAAAGTCAGGGATGACTGCAATGTGCCAGTCTAGACGTCATCCAAAGAGTGGATTGCTTGAGAAATACAAAAGCAAATGCTTTAGATTTTTTTTTCTTTTTTTTTTTTTTTTAAGAAAAAGATTGACACGGGGCCGCTTATGAGTCAGCAGCTTTGGTACATGCTATGATAAAATCTAGTTGTCCTATTATGTCTTCTTCCTGCTGCTATTGTTGTGGCTTTTCCCATGGGCAAAGGCTGTGAGAACTAAGGTGACAGCCCCCAGTCTCTGATACTGGCTTGATATTCGGTCCTGTAGAAGGGCTACGCAGTGCCTGGAAGTCTTCTTTGTATACACTTAAACCATTCGTTGTATATTTTTCTTCATCCCATCACTCTACTTCCTAACAAAATAGGTTCTAACACTCCAGCTGGAGAGCCGGAGGCATGTGGGGCTCCAAGAAACTTCGTGTCAACTTTGACATGGGCAAGAGGCAAGCTGGATCTTACTTTAGCCACTGTTAGGTGCTGGTTGCCATCACTTGAGCTGACTCTAGCCCTAAATAGTTCATTACCCACATTATTTCTTTGAATCCTTATGGCAAGGCTATGAACTAAGTGTGGCTCTCCTCAACCTCCAGGAGAGAAAGTGATGAAGGCTCGGAGGCCGAGAAACCAAACCATGGCTCCCTTATTCCTGTGTCCCGTAACACATGAACTCTTCAGGAATCATCCATACATTGAGAAGTAACAAGAGAGGCCATCCAAGGCAGGCTATGTACGAGTCACAGGGAGAAAAGTGAGGTTCTCTTGCCCTTGAAGGTGCTCCCTAAAACCTCCAGGAGGGCTTGCTGTGGTCTGGAGCACAGGTCTAGACAAAGCACTGCTCCGAGTACAATCAATGCCACTCTTGCAAAAGAAAAGTTGCTTTTTGTGTGTGTGCATAAACCTAGGCACATAGCTTATTTCTCACCCTATCTGCCCTCCCTACCACCGCCCTGCTTCCTTCCTTGTGACGAACATCAAACCCAGGGCCTTACCATGCTAGACAGTCTACCACCAAGCTCCGCCATAGCCTCCAAAGCAAGGTTAATGAAAACTGTTGACCAACACGTGGGCATGAATATACATCACAACATTATTGAAAATGGAGAAGAAATGTTAAATTTAAGTGATCAACTGTGGGGAATAATGTAAAACCAGCGGAAGCACAGGAATGGCATGAGCCTGTGGGAAGGATGCAGGTACCTGTGGGGGCGGGAGTCCCCCAGCTCCCTCAGGGCACTCAGGCAGCATGGTGAGCTTCTCTTGGGTGCTGCACTTGCAGGAGGGAGAAGGGTGGGCCGCTGTCCACTTCTGCTTCTGGAACAGGTGGGTGAGGTTCGGGGACACGGGCGGTGTCTTCCAGGAGGTTGAATTACCACAGGGGTACTCCCTCATGGGGAACGAGAAAATAGTCAACAGTCAATCCCACCGCCTGATTTTTTTTTTCTTTTTCTTTAAATTCCTACAAAAGAGGAATGGTCGCTAGCTGAGCTGGCTCTTTCTTTGCCTTTCCTCTCTCAGAGCAGGGAATTTCCATCCTGGGGTTTAGACTGTGCTTAAGGACTATCAGAACTGGGATCCTGCAGACGACAAAGCAAAGTCTAGGGAATAACCGTCTAGTCTGTGGAGTCGGCTTTGTTCTGTGTATCTGCTCTTGCTCTTGAGACATAGAGAAACACAACGGAAGAATCTGAAATGTGACTGGATGGAAACAGGTGGTACAATTAGGCTGAACTGTAAAGACCCCTGGTGGCTTTCGACTACTTTCTACCACTCTCTTTCTATAGTTACAGCAATGATGGAGAGCTGGCCATCGAAGTAACTGTAACTGGTGCCTCTCAGGGTCCAATTGTATAAAATCACATCCTGCATCTTCTTCCACCCCTGTTTAAAGTTTTGGGTTTTTTTTTCCCCCAGATGAGTTTGGGTGAATAACGTCAAACAACAGAACATTTCTATATTGAGACACATAGAGCTGTCGATGGTGGAGTCTTCTGAGTATGGAAGGAGAAGCTGGGTAAGTGCTGATCAGAGACACGGACATGACACAGGGAAGGATGGGGGGGGCTTTCCCACACTTCTGGGCTGCCTTTGGTGACTTACGGAAGCCACTCTCCCTTTAGACAACGGTTGCCGAAACCTGGCCTGTTCAGGAGGACATCTGCCAGTACTTCCAAGTGTTCATTGTTGGGCTCATCCATGCTAAAAAGAGAGAGAGGCTTACCTGGTAGTCGGACACAGACAGAAGGACAAAGGCCACTAACATGCAGAGGTAAGTTTGTGAGGCGCTGAACACCGACTTAGAATGGCTGTGAGCTCCCGGAAGTGGGGTAGCCTACCAGACACCTAGAAGTCTAAGGGCAGATCATCTATGCCTCAAAAAGATGGAGCTCTGACCCCCTCCCCCAGGCTTCACATCCTCTTCCATTAGCTGCTGCTTATTCCACAGCCACTGGAAGCACCGTGAACCACACTGCTCAGCAGTCACAGCTACGTTATCTCTCCTGCCAAGAACAATGCCAGGGCTCCTTCCACCTTGCTGAAGATTCCAGGGAAGCAGGGAGGGCAGGACCCTCCCAGCAAGCCAGTGTTCCAGGAATATCACACATCAGAGAACAATGGTGACTCCAGGGGAAGGATCTACGCACCTGAAGAAGGTATATTGATGCCCATACATCCAGGGGTGAAGGGTCAAGGCTGGAAATTCACCAAACGGAGGCACAATGACGGAAAGCATCAGAGCCAAAAACACGAAGGTGGCAGGGAGAACAATCTGCGGGAGAAATAGCCATGGAGATACAGGCTGAGGTAGGAGCGATGATACACGCATGCAGGAAAGCATTCAATGCACGTATATGTACATGTACCCATGCAGCAAACATTCTTTTAAGTGTTTATTCTCCACTTCATACTCAGATGATGGTAGTTAAGAACAGGCTTCTAGGGAAACATACACAAATGTATAAGGCAATATATGTAGAAAGAAAAAGAATGTTCCTGCGGTTGTAAAAGAATCTCAATGTATACCATGCTCAGCCAGAGTCTAAAAGGCTCGCGAGTCATTTAAAGAACGACTCACATTACTCGCTTCTTTTTGAACTCAAGTTTCTTTTTTTGAATGAAAAATCTATAGAGAGGACTGGGCACATAGCTGAAGTGGGATGGAGCATTTGCCCAGCATGTATGAAGCCCTGAATTCAATCTGTAGTGCTGCATAAAATTGAGCTTAATGGCGCATGCTTTTATTCCCAACACTCAGGAGGTAGAGGCAGGATGATCAGAAGTTCAAGGTCTTTCTTGGCTACATAACAGGTCTGAGACCAGTTTGGGGTACATGAGACCGGTCTCAAAAGAAGACAATGGTCTTGATCTTTGGATCGTTAGAAAAAGGAATGAAACATATAACTCTATAACATATAACATAACCTTTCATTATGAAAAGAGAAACAACACTAGAAAAATAGGATGTGGTACTATCCTATTTTTTACTCTAAGTGAGGCCCAGACCTTACAAGGAAGGTTTACAAATCCCAGAATAAAAATAAAGGTTTGGCAAGGAGGAAGTAGAGCTGAGAGGAGCTGAAGAAAGTGTTCTGGGTGGTGTTTGTAACCACACTCGTGGATGCTCCTGAGAAGATGGAACTGCAGGATCAGTACCACAGACCACCCTTCCTGGGGCGAGGGGAGATGGGGGTGGGGAGAGCTCGGTCAAGGCCAAGCTGACCACAGTGGTACCTGAGCCAGAAAGTCCTTGTGGCTGCGGACAGTGTGGTGGAATCGCTTGACTAACAGGGCCTGAACATGTTGAAGAACCAGTCGAGCACCTGTGTTGAATGGGACACCGGGATCCTGTGGCTCTGGGGACGGTTGGCCCTTAGGAGGATCCGCTTGTCCTGGGGAGCAGGTGTGAGAGGCCTGGGCAGGCTGCCTGACCTTCTCAGTGGAAACCGAGCAAGGGTGCCGGAGACCACCATGCTGTCTCTTCTGCTGAGTGCCACCTAAGGGATATGGGGTCAATCATTTGAGAACAAACAAACAAACAAACAAACATATATAAGAGATACTGTTATATACAAATTTTCCCTTCCAACATCAGTTACTCTTCATTCAGAGAAACAATGGGGCAAGGTCTCACTCTAACCAACTGTATTTAGCCATCCATTCTGTGGCAGGTGGTGAGAGTGTGGAATGGAGGGTTGTAGTTCAGAGAATAAGATCCATTAGTCTATGTGGCTTTAGGCCATCATCCTACCTCAGTAAGCTCAGCTTCCCCTAGATGGGTCCGGTCTCTGTTCTACCTTCCTCGTGATATCAAGTAACGCAATGATATCAGGTGCTTTGTCAAGTATCAAGAGCCGTCATGCAAGCATGAAGAGGATTTATGCCCAGGAGGGTCTTGAGAAGTCTTGCTTGTGGATCACGTGCTGTGCAAAGCTTTGACATGCATCTCAGTGATTCTCATTGTCCACATGGAAAAACTGAAGTTTGAAGAGGCTGAGTACCATACCCAGAGCCATTCGCATAGTCAAATCATGGAGCTTGGCTTTGATGTTTGGTCTACCGCACCCTAAGGTTAAACTTGGAGCATCTTCCCTTGACTGTCTCTGAAATGTGCACCTCTGTGCCCATGCTGACCTCAGGGTCTGACTTATTACTCTAACAGGCTAATTACTAAAAAGCAGCATGCTGTGCAGATAAAAAGTCCCTAACTTTTGAATCTATGCAGCTTGTGGTATATTTTAACATGCCTTCCTTCTTGCCTTGATTAACGTGACTCTTGGGCTTCGGGTGAGTGCAGAGAATTCAAGTTCTGTCTGCAAAGACCTTGGAAGAGAAACTGGACCCCCCACAGTGAGCTGCCCCTACCTTCTGCAGAGGACTCACCCCTTCCCCTTCTGCCAGGATGACTGCTTCAGTAGGCCTACACATGACCTAGATGGGTAAACTGGGGCAGATGTGGGCTGGCACATAGGGCCACTGGTGATAGATGCTTGGTCCCTTAGACCCACATTACCTTAGGATGTGGGAGTAAAAGCAGAAATTCCACAGAGAGGAAACACTGCACGGGAGGCGTGATGATGTGTCACACTGGGTAGGAGGAGGGGACTAGTGACCCAAGACAGCAAAGGGGAACTGCTACATATCTTTGCCCCTGAGCATCTGAGCAGGGGAGAGGGCCCAGAGGGCTTATTTTAGCAGAGAAGGTACATGCCTCCTTTTCTGTCAGAATTGGTTTGTATTAGGGAGACAACGTACCCTTCTTCTACTTCCATTCCCTCTGCAGTAAGTCCACAACACCCACAATGCTTTGGATGGCCATGAGGAATCAAAAGCAAAGGCCCAGGCTGACCCATGCATATAGCAGAGAGAAGGCCAGAATCCACAAGAATTTGGGTCCCCACCATTTCAAAGTCCACAGGTTACTAACTGAAGGTTTAAAAGTGTTTTTTTTTTTTTCCTTTTCTTTATCTTGATCTCAAAGGGGTCAGGAGATTCTAACTAGCATCTGGGTTGTATTAACTGTCATCCTTATCTCTAAGTACTCTCTGCTACCTATCACTTACACAGACAAGCATGAACCAGAAGCCTGGAAGAGAGGACGGGAGATGACAGTGACATGACAGGAAAAAAGAGACCAAGGGTGTGGGAGGTAAACTTTAGGGGAGAAATCTGCCAGTCTGGCATTGATAAGAATCCTGATTTACTCAGAATGTTCCTATCCAGCCAAATCAAATTGAGTTTCTCACCCACAGGCACCAAGAACACAGAATGCAACACTTGGGGCTCTGGCACTGGGAAGGATTGAATGGCTGCTTTTTACTCTTCCTGTAGATTTTTTTTTTTTTAAAGATCACATCTAGGGAAACAAGGAACAGGCCACTGGGTCCAGCACCATACCTACAAACATAGAGCCTGAATCAGAATCCTCCGTGACCTTCAGAAAAATCTGTTGAGACATGAAGAGAGAATTTGGTTCAGGCATTCCTACTTCCAGAAAAAATCTAAACCTAGTTCCATTGTACTGCGCACTGTTTCACCACGGCAAGAAAGGCCATCTAACTATATGAGAATGCAGTCTTCTATAAACGCAAGCACACGGTGACCACAGTTGCAGAAAACATGTATACATGTGGACTGAGGTAGGAGGAAGCCAGCTGAAGACGGACAGAGTGGCTACACCGGGTGGGGGGATTAGGGCCATTGCTTTTTGTAAGATTTGGCTTTCGGTTAGGCATTCGAAAGAGCTGCCTCTCCTGGCACTAGACAGAGACCCAGAGACCTCTTGCAGTCTCCGCCTTACCTCTTCCAGGGGAGTGTCAGAAATTCCAAAGCTGCTGAGCCCCAGGTCAGCCAGCGTCTCCTCCAGCTCTCTGAAAAGGCTGGCATAAGCTCTCTGCTTGAAATTCTTGTTTGGAAGGAGGAAGATAAGTTCTTGACCAATGCATTCCACCAACTTTGCCTCTGGAACATGGTGGTGCACCAAATCCATCAGCTCCTTCACGTCTCCTAGGGCAGGACAAAAAGACGGATGTCAACTCTGCTCAACCTGTTCTAGAACCTGGAAGACTGTGAGGTCTCCTGGGCCTCCTATTCTCTTCTACACCCCACTTCAGAAAGGGGCAGATGGCCACCACCACCTCCTTTTCTTCCTCTCTCTACCCATCTTCCCTCCTCTTCTCTATGTGTGTGTGTGTGTGTGTGTGTGTGCACAAAAAGTCAGAAACAAGATCTCAATAGCACAGGCTGGCTTCAAAACCTTTATATAGTTGAATTTGATCTTGAACTCCTCCTAATCCCACTACCTCTGCCCTCAGTTGGATCAGAGCTGTGTACAAATATACCGCCCTCGTGGTTTTGGTGTATGTGTGTTTCTGTTTGTTTTGTTGTTGTTGTTGGGACAGAGTTTTACCCTAGATCCCACCTTGGTATGTAACTCCGTTTGGTATGGCCTGGGCCTCCTGAGTGCTGGGATTAGAGGCATGAGCCACAGAGTTGGCTCTCGGTGCCAACTCATTTCTTTTAGACTTGATATTTACCAAATCTATTTTTAGCTTAGTTGACTCTGACAAACATACTCCAGGTGGCTCACTGTGTCACCTGAGGGAGGGCCGGTTTCTTCCTTTGTTCAGTCAAATGTGCTGTTGCCTCAAGGAATGTTAAATTGGGTAAGTCCTTTCCTAGTTCCTCATCTGTGAAACGGGAAAATAACTGTGCCCACTCCGAGACTATTTGTGCGGATGTTAATGTACACACAGCGCTTGGAGTGGTGCCTGGCACAAAAAGGTTTAACTTCTTGGAGAACTACACTGCTTTCGCTTGGGCTGTATCTGTCCTCTCAAACAGACCAAGGCTCACTAACCAGCGGCTGCAGCAAAAGGAGGTTGAGAAGCCCCAGGAGAGAATGACGTTGGCACCAGGAGTGGGGTGGGTAGCACAGAGTATCTACTTGATAACTTTGAGCAGTCAGAACCAGATTTTATGGACAAGCCTGTATTAGTTTGAAATTGAAAGCCTAACTTAAAAAAAAACAACAACAACAAAACAGAACACAAGTCTCGCTCTGTAACTCAGGCTGGCCTTGAACTCAAAATCCTCCTGCTCTAGCCTCCTGAGTGCTTGGATAATAGGTCTGTGTTGCCCTAATCCCAGAGAGCATTGCTATTCAAGCCAGTTTTCTCAAAGAGTTAGTATCACTCATGGGAGTCTCCTCTTTCTTCAAAAATGACGTGGTTGGAATATTTCACAGCTCCCCATTGAGATCCTGTGCAGAGCTATGGAAGGCTTCTGTGTCACACCTGCAAACTGTGTGATTGTCTTTAGTCCTCAATGATCTCATACTGAGACCGGGGAGTTCTTCACTGAAGGAAATAGCTCTGCCCCAGTAGCTTGTAGGGGTCACACTCATTGTTCTCTTAGGAAGGAAGTGGGACCCAGTCACTGGATTCCCAGGAATTGTGTCTTAGTTATGGACCAGTCCTCAGAAGTGTCCATCTGGCAGGGAGGTCTGGGAGTGTGTGTGTGTGTGTGTGTGTGTGTGTGTGTGTGTGTGTGTGCGCGCGCGCGCAAGTGAAAAGCCAGCCAAGGAGGTAACTGGAGATGAAGGGATCTCTCCTTCCCAATTGGGGGTACAACTTCTTACTTCCCACCATCACAGCATGCCCATTCTATACAAAGAAAGTCTTTTCATAGAAATAAATCCATACTTTAAAAAACTCATGTCAGCCACAGATTCATTCCGACTTGATGTTGATGGACTGGCAGCAATTAAACACATTAGTATTGACTTATTTAAAGAAAACATCAGTGTCTTGACAGAGATTCCAAGGAGACATTTTCAGCAGCGCAGGAGGTTCAGCAAGATGAGCAGGACACGAAATCCAGAGACACAATACACAATACAGAAATGCTTTCTGTTCAGCACAGAGTACACAGAGAACGGGGAGTAAATGCTGGCGCTGGGACTCCCAGCACTTCCCTCGGGTGTCTGTTGTTATTTGAGGGAGGGTCTCATTGTGTCAGCCTAGAACTCCAGACTGGCCTAAAACACAGAGAGATCTGCCTACCTTTGCCTTTCCTGGGACTGAGGCTATGTGCCAATGTACCTGCTGCCCCTGCCCCCCCTCCACTCAACCCTACCCCCCCCTTTGCTGCTGCCAGGTTTTAAGCACAGGACATTAATATTGTAGAATTTTCTTGTTCTACTTAGTAGATTCTTAAGGTTTAGGGGGGAAATGCATTAAATGGGAAAGTGTCTTTGACAAGCACACATTTTCCTCTGCTCATAAAGCTAGGTCAGTACCTAAGTTTAGTTTTGCTTTTACATAGGATTTTAGAGCATGTGGCATTCCACTTGCAAAGGCATCCTCCCGAGAGGCCTGGAGGCGGGCACTAGCCGAGAATGGAAAAGAGTTGTTAGTAAGCTTTTGGGACCCTGAGCTCTGATCTGACGGGTGAACAATTTTGTGTGCCGTGAGCTTATTCCCTGTCTGTCTCTGGTGACAATGAGAGGCCTCTGCCAGGCCTTACCTTCAAAGGGAGGCTCAGTGGGGACATGGCCAGCACTCGGAAGTGTGTGACACTGCACGAGGATGTCATGCATCCTTTCTACCTACAAGCTCACCTACAGTTCTCCAGAGGCTCCCCGGAAGAGGCGTGCAAAGATGGAGAGATGGCTCAGCAGTTAAGAGCACTCACTGCTCTTCCAGGGGCCCTGGGCTCAGTCCCTGGCACCCACACAATGGCACGTAACTGTCTAGTTTCAGAGGATCCAATGCCTTCTTCTGGCTTCGGCAGGCACTGCGCACTCACTGTCCGACATGGCTATACACCCATGAAATAAACAGTCACTCCCATAGAGTAAAAAGGATAAATAAACTACTAAAAAGAGAGAGAAGCAGAGGGTGCCTTGGCACACTCCGAGGAGTGGACGTGTCCACCTCTATTAACAGCAGAACTCTATGAACTAAAGCTCAATACAAGTAAGGACGGGGGTGGACACAGATGGGATTCCTCATTAAAGAGAGGGCTCTTAGGTGTATGACTTTAAAATCACCTTAAGAAAGAAGGAGAAACAGGCTCAAAGAAAAAGATGAGCAACTGCCTCGCATTGGGCTCCAAAGCACGCCGTATGCTCTCTTCACCCGAGCACATCACAACAGAACACACCCAACGACATGGGAGATGCTCATTGAGCCAGAACTCAGATTCAGTCTGCTCAGCCCTTACCATCCAAGGCCTGTTCTTCGTCCACGTGGGCTGGACACCTGGTAGAGAAACCCTTTGATGCGCAGCTGCAGGCTCCCTACAACAGGCAGACAGAAATGACTTCACGTGATACCCATCGCTTCAACAATAGCATCTTCATGGTGCCAGCTGCTGTCACCACCGCTCCGTTTGTCTCTCATCACCAACTGTGGCCAACATTTTTTTTTCCTTCTTCACTGTTTAATTTACTAATTCATCTGAGTGTTTCGAGGGTGTAGCTGCTTGATTTTTAACCCAGAGGGAATGTGAGTCAGGCAGAGAGAGAGAGAGAGAGAGAGAGACAGAACCTCAAAACATCCCTTTGGGTTGTCATTAATCATGCGGCAACTAGAGAGACATTCTGCTCCCCTCCAAGAGATGACATTCTGCTCCCCTCCCAACCCTGGCGGAATGAGGCTGTGAAAATATATCAGGACAGGAAAGCCCACTGTATCCACTTACACCAGAGGCATAAATAGCACCACAGCAGAACACTTTGAACAATCTGAATGTGAGGGACACCTGTTCTCAAGGAGCCCAGGAAACATTCATGGCACTTTATGTCATTTGTCTCCGCTGCGTCCCTGCGAAGCAGAAGCCTGTGCCATCAGCTTCATTTTCCATGTGAGGAATGACAGCAGCAAAGAACAAAATCACTTCCTCGGGATGACACGGTAGACTAAGCCTGGTTCTGAGGACACACAGTGGTCTCTGTGTTTGCCCCCCACCCCCACCCCGTCCCCACATCATTTTTAGACTATGGTTCCCAAGGATGTCTTTCCTTAGACTTCATTTACCACTGGGATTCGGGTTTAATTGGGGACCATGCGTGTTTGAATGAAGGAGCATCGGCTTAAAGAAAGCAGTCTAACCTTGAGGGGCACGGTGCTCTCCTGGTACACCACACCATATGCTGTTTGGACACTGGTGTGTAATACTTCGGGTTATTTAACATTAGTTGCATCTAGTGCGCTTTGCGGGGGCATCTCCGTGTGATAATTTAGAACACAGTTACTGAAATCTGCAGATAGTCCCAGAAACAAGCTGATTCTGACAGCTCAAGGTCCAGTGGGTAGAAATGTCGAGAATGGCGGTCCCATCCTACCTGCCCCTTCTCACCCAAGTCGGGCTTCTTCCCTCGGCAGACACGTACCTCACAGCCACCTCTTTGGCTCTGGATGTTTTTCATCTTGCGAACCAAGGTCAAGTAGAAGCCTGTGCCAAAGCAGTTCTTGAGGAAGAGTGGAGTGCCAGAGCAGTAGAGCTTTCCCCGGGAGATGATGGCGATGCGGTCGCCGAGGAGGTCTGCCTCATCCATGTGGTGGGTGGACATGATGATGGTTCTGCCTGTGAGGAGGAGGTCAGGGTTGTTACCAGGCAGGCCCTGGATAGGATGTACAGCAACCTCCAGGTTAGATGGTCCCCAGAACTAGGAGGTAATAATAAAAACAAAGCAGCTAATTCTGCAGCAAGCATAACGGCGTAACGGTGATGACAGCCAATATATCCTAGCATCCTTCACACTGTAAAGCGCTGTCCATACAGTGTCTCTGCACTGAGCCTCAGGCTTGATTCAAATAGTTTCACACATGTGGGACACTAGTCTTGACATTGTTAAACACCACCCTTGTGCTTTGTAAGAACAGACACCGCACTCTCTCAGTAAACGGAACTGCTATTAAAAAGAGGTAACGCTTTCAGCCTGTAAACCTGCAGTGAGGGGTGTGAGGAATACAGGCAGAACAGAGGAGGGGCCTCTCCAGGCTTGCAGGGTGAATCACACTGCTGCTTTACCGGCTCTCCGAGCTCTGCCTGATGCCACTTCTAGATGCGAATCCTCCGGAAGGTGCTGGGAACAGACCTCTGGCAAAGAGCTCGTTTTAAGGCATTTTTATCTGCCACGGCCTTCCACTCATCAGATCACCCAGCCCCTGTTGCTAACACCTGACCTCAGGTGGTCGGGCAACGGCTAGGCAGCTTCTTGGGATACCTTTAGATCCCGTTAGCCAGAGGGCAATTCCACTTCTCTGGATTGGAGCACTACAAGGAGAAAGAAGTTTTTGTCTTGTCGAGACAGGGCTTCACGTAGTTCTGGCTTGCCTTGAACTTGCTGTGTAGCCGAGACCAATCTTGGATTTCTGATCTACCTGCCTCTAGCTCCTGAGTGCTGGGACTGTACTCGGTCTGGTTTATGCGGTGCTGGGGTTGGACTTGGGGCTTTGCGTATGCTTTGTAAACACTGTAACAAGTGAGCTACACCCCCAACCCAACTTTCTAGACTGTTTCGGCAAATAGGGCACTTCAGACTCTCAGGAAGCTTTCACTTGAACTTGGATTCACTGATAGTCTCGGGTGAGTGCAGCACATGGCTGGTAGAATACATAGCTGTAAAATGCTAGGTGTGAGCAAGCGGGATTCCTGGAAGAGCCTCAATGGCAGCATGGGCTCCTGAGCGACTGCCCTCACCTGAGCGGTACTTCAGGAGCAGGTCCCAGATGGAGCGCCTGGAGTAGGGGTCCACCCCAGAGGTGGGCTCGTCCAGGACCACCACCTTGGAATCTCCCACAAAAGCAATGGCAACGGACAGCTTCCTCTGCATGCCACCTGGAGGCAGAAGGAAGGGAGAAAGGAAGGAAGGGAGATTAGAACCTATCACAGACACCTAGGCGTGGAGAAGAGAAAGGCCCAGGGCTGGTGGCATACAGAGGCTCTCTAGATCTAGCTACAGTTTGATACTGCCACCTTCGATATGCCTACGTTGTCGGAAGCCACAGTGGTACCCAGGGTTCATCAGTGCAGAAAGGCCTCCTCACACCTGGTCATCTGCAGACCGTACCGTTAGCTTCACAGAAGTGTTAGGAGGACGCCCGTTCTGAGGCCCTACCCCAGTGGTTCTCAATCTGCCTAATGCTGTGACCCTTTAATACAGTTCCTCATGTTGTGATGAAACCCCCCCCACCATAAAATTATTTTTGTTGCCACTTCGTAACTGTAATTTTGCTACCGTTCTGATTCATATTAAAAGGATCTGATATGCAGATAGGTGACCCCTCACAGGGGTCACGACCCACAGGTTGAGAACCACTGTCCTACCCCAACCCTCTGCCAAGGTACATTGCAAGGCAATGGATGCTCCATATGTGGCCCTGTCTCCTCCCAATACCAAGCACCTGAAAGGTCCTGAGCTTCCTCATTCCTCTTGTGGTGGAGGCCTGTGTCTTCTAACATGGCTTCCATCTCCAGCTGGGCCTCCTCCCAGGACTTCCCTTTCAGCTGAGCATAGAACAAGATATGCTCAGCCACTGTGAGGCTGTGGGAGCCAGATGAGGAAAAAAAGCAATGGGCTAAGCAATCCCCCTTTAGCAATTTATCTTAGGAAATAAAGACGAAGGTGAAAACTTAGCAGTCAAAATTTTCATCATGGTATTATTTATGATACAAAAGTGAAACAATCAACCAATACTGCCCGAAGATCTAATGAGAAAGATTACTTAAATAGTTTGTTCCAACAATGGAACAGCATATAAACATTAGAAATTCCTTCTTAAAGGAATATGCAATCACATGGAGAGATATTCAGAACACCTTAGGTTTAAGAAAGCAATTATGGGGCCGGAGAGGTGGCTCCAGTTAAGAGCACTGGTTGCTTTTATGGAGGACCTGGGTCTGGTGGCTCACAACTGTCTGTGTTTCCAGGTCCAGGGTATCTGATGCTGTCTCCTCAGGCTCTAGGAACACATTAGCGCCCAGAAATATACACACAGGCAAAACACCCACACGCATAACAAAGTAACTCAAATTCATTCACATTCTTAAAAAGTTGGGTTACAAAATTGTACATATACTTTTACTCTCCTTTGTCATTTTAAAAAGTCTCTGTGCAGGTCTACACATGTAGAGAAGTTTCTGAAGAATTGAATCTGGAAGTGTTGACAGCGATTAACCTCTGGGTGGTGAAATGACTGGTGATGTTTTTTTTTTGTTGTTGTTGTTGTTTGTTTTTCTCTTTTGTATTTAGGTGTCTTCTCCCCTCCACCCCCCTCCTTCCTTCCGTGATGACAAGAACCAGGGCATAAAATATGTTTCAATTGGAAAGAAATCGAGAGTAGAGAGAGAAAGAAAGAAAGAAAGAAAGAAAGAAAGAAAGAAAGAAAGACAGACGGAGGGAGGAGAGGGAGAAAGGAAGGAAGAGAAGGAGAAGGAGGAGAGAAATGGAACAAGAAGGGAAATGAAAGAAAGCACAAGCATATATGTGAGGCCAGTCTCTGGCACCAGGAGTCAGCATGGAAAGGGGATAGCATCTCTTCTTTCTGATTCCTGCCAGGGGAAGCAAGAAAGATTATCAGAAAGAAGAGGCTGTCCCTCCTCTGGTTTGGGACAGCTCAGCTCTGATCTCCAGGAGCACCACCTCATATTCGGGGGAACAGTTCTCACGAAGGCAGGACCAGGGTTTTGAAGGCAGAGGACAGACAAAAGCATTGCTAAGTTGGGCTGGAGAGAAGATGTGTGCTAGGGGCAGGGGCGAGGACAGGATACAGGTGGCTTAGGCTTACTATTGCTGTGATGAAACACTATGACCAAAGCAACTTGGGGAGGAAAGGGTTTATTTGGCTTATACTACATCATCAAAGGAAGTCAGAACAGAAACTCAAGCAGGGCAGGAACCTGGAGGTAGGAGCTGATGCAGAGGCCGTGGAGGAGTGCTGATTATTGCCTTGCTCTCCATGGCTTGCTCAGTCTGCTTTCTTATAGAACCCACGACCACCAGCCTAGGTATGGCACCACCCACAGTAGGCTGTGCCCTCCCCCATCAATCATTATTTAAGAAAATGCCCACACTTTCTTAATGCCCGATCTTATTGAGGCATTTTCTCAATTGAGGTTCCCCCACCCCCACCCCTTCAGTGACTCTAGAATGTGTCAAGTTGACATAAAACTAGCTAGCCCAACAGGGGTTGTTTCCAATATTTTTGCTGTAGATGAAACCCAGAGTAATGAACATGCCAGGCAAGTACTCTACCACAGAGCCCCCCCCCAACCCCCGCCCAGGAATACCTCAACTCCAGTTCACTTACTGATGAAACAGGATGTTGTGTTGAGGACACATGCCCAGACTCTGGCGTATTGCATCCAGGCTGGTTTCAATGTCTTTGCCCCCAATGAGCACAGTCCCTGATGTTGGCGGCAACAGACCTGTCAGGATGGACCTGGCAAACACAGGATTAAGTGGCAGAAGAGAAAGAAAGTCTTTAGGACCCAGTAAGGGAGGAGGACAACCCCAGGGTTAGAAGGATGCTTGTAGATTCCTGCCCATCTCTCTATCAGACCCAAGCGTGCAGCAGCTGAGGGGACTAGAGGTTTTCCACACGGGGTTTGTTTAGCACCAGCGCCTTCATTCAGGCCCTAGTGCCCAGGACCACAAGGGCCTTCTTTCTCTACTTTTATTTCCCCAGGGCTCCCAGGCCAGTATCAAGAGCCTCAGGGATTCCCAGCCTCAGACACCCCATTATCACTCAGCCACCCGTGTGGTGGTCAGTTGTAATGCTCACTGGGAAGTCTGGTCCCTGTGGTGTGATGTGGCCAGCTATAGCGGTCACTGCTTTGTTTTATCCTTGTGGTCAGTTGTAGTGTCTGCTGTGAAGGCCTGTCATAGTGGTCATTTGGTGGCTATTGATGTGGTCAGCTGTTGTGGATACTGTCAGTCACTGTTGCGGTCAGTTAAAGGGCTTTGGAGCAGAGCCCTCTGTTTTGCCTGGGTGAGCAGCCTGGGCTGTGGAGAAGTCAGTTGTTGCCTTTGCACAGGAGATGACGGTGCGCTGAGCAGGGAGTCTCCTGACTCAGGAACTACTACTAACAATTTCAGTTTTTGGATCCCAAACTTTAAAAGCCCATAATAATGTTGTGAATTTTTTTTTTCTTCCTTTCTTCAGTAACATAATGACTTTCACCTGCTTGGGTAGTTGGGTTAAGTGAGTCAAAACGCACTTTAACACGGCACCAGTATGAAGTGAAACTTAAAAATTCCCGGGGTTGGTCAGCATTGTGTTTCAGCTCCAGGGGAAGTTGGATTTTGGCACCGAGTGATGTAATGTGTTTGTCTTCAAGAGGTCCTGGGGTCTTGGATGAAGCTTCCTGTTCTCTTAGCACGTGAGCTAGCAAGGAGATAGCCCTAAGCTGCCACACCCAGCTCTGTCCCGAGCTCTGATAAAATCGCAGGCTGAACCTGGACTTGAAGCCGAAATCTTTGTTGATCAGCCACTAGAGGGAAACAGTACCAAACACAATGGCACCAGGCCCGCATTCCATTCACGTTGAAAGGCCCAAGAGCACATTCCAGAGCAGGGTGTACACCGCTGTTCCTTCCCGGGGCGCAGTAAGCCAAGGATTTGGTGGCTGCTGTCACGCGGCTTGTTGACCCCCCAAACCCCTCCTCCACCCGCTCAGAGGAGGTCTGCGCCGGAACCCTGACATCCTTTTCTCAGCAGGTGGCGCTCGGGGCCCTCCGAGGAGCATAGGTCTGAGACCCACCGCCCCAAATCTTCCCGCGCTTGGCTTTCCGCCAGGCAGGCGAGTCCACTCCACTGTTCTCAGAAATGTAATCAACCCCCATCAGACATCCCACCCCCACATTGAAGAAGCCTACCAATTGTTAGGAAAAGGAGCGCTACTTAAAAACAGACGTGTTCTACAGACCCCCCGGCATGGGTCATGACTTTATCCTCACTGTGGTTGACGGTGAAGTAGGAGACGGGGTTAAGAAGAGGACTTGGGGTGTTAGACACACTTACACTCTTTGAATGTTCCTCGCAGAAAGGGGGCAATAAACTTACGCTACCTTCCCTCATTACTTCTTATATTATTTATATTAAATAAAATAAATGTGAGTGGGCTTTGCATTTTATGTCATGCTTATTTTTTGTTTGGTTGGTTTTTGTTTATTGCGGCAGTTGTGGCAGCCCAGGCTGTTCCAGACAGGGTCTTACTATGTAGCTCTTTCTGGCTGTCCTGAAACTCGCTATGTAGACTAGGCTAGCAGAGAACACAGAGTTCACCAGACACTGCCTCCCAGGTGATGGGATCAAAAAAGGTGTGTGCCAGCCGCTTTGGTGATTTGGAGACCAGAAAAATAGTGTTTGTTTGTTTGTTTGTTTGTTTGTTTGTTTGTTTTCATCAGAATTCAATGGAGAAGAGCAGACTGAAGTTATTAGGGAAAATGAAGCCAGGGAATGATGGATGGGATGGGATGGGATGGGATGGGATGGGATGGGATGGGATGGGATGGGATGGGATGGGATGAAGACAGCCTCTTTGCTAGAGAACTCACAAGGTGGTCGTTTTCCCTGCTCCGTTGTGTCCCAGGAATGCGGTGATCTGATTCTCATAGAAAGTGATATTAAGACAATCCACAGCTGGCCGGCTACAAGAATCAAAAACCTTTACCAGGTTCTTCACACACACCCCAGGCACCAACCCAGGAAGCTCACGTTCGAAGAAGGAGTCTTAGAGGGAAAAGCACATTGTAGAAACACAACATCAAAATAGCAAAAGTAATAACTGCATCGATTTAACACTTATTATGATTTAGGCACTCCTAAATCATAGAATGAATCTCCTCCTCATGCTCTTTCTACTTAGGCTCCCGGAGAGTCCACTCTGCCTCATCATGGCTGGACCCTTGTGCCAGTGTGAGACTAAATCAGAGCCTGTGTGCCCCTCTAATCCTCACCACCACCACCAATATGCCTACACTCAGGGATGAGAAAGCTTAGAATTAGTTCAAAAGGGAAAACAGAGCAGCTAAAGCTGGGGGGAATCTTAGGTACCCTGCCCATCAGCCCAGGAATGATTAGGTAACTTCCACTGCCAGGAAAGGCTTTTGATGGTGGCAATGAATGGGCTGTAGGTTTGTAAACCTTGAGTGAAGTGCAGTCAGCTCTGCTAGACTCTTTCCCCTTAGTGCACTTATTTTTGTCTTTCCTTATAGCTCATATCCGCTTCAAGTCCCAGTGACCCAAGTCATTGTTCTGGCTAAATCCTCGGAAGTCAGCACGTTCGTGCAACTCCCTTGGGATTTGCCAAACAAGGGCACAAACACACTACAGGCCTGGGATTTGCTTTCTCCAGGAAATATGCACTAATGTCTGGGTTGTACCATTCATTCCCCTGTGTTCAGCTGGACATCAGATTTAACACTAGTCAAGAGAGGGAGTCAGCTTCCTGGCCTTCCTCTCACCCCTCATATGCACTGCTTAAGCTCTGTAGCCTTTTGCCTTGGTTCTGCTCTGCTCTTTTTTTTTTTTTTTTTGAGGGGTGGGGTACCAGTCATTCCTTCTGGGTGCTCTGGATCCTCCATTTCCTCTGTTAAGGGTTCAGTCTTTTCCAGGGCCCTTTCTTCTCTGGTCGAACAACCTGAACCAACCAGAAGCCAGAAGCCAGTGTTACTCTTCAGTAGAGCCAGGAGAGGGGAGGAGGGTTAGAGGGGACATGTGAGTGGGACAGCCCCCTCAATAGGTGAAGCCAGCATTGCTGCTGTCTGGCCTTGACCTGCTGCCAGGCCATGAGGTACTCACATCTGACTGAGCCATCTTCACCAAGCCCAGGGGGATTTTATCACTGGAGTCTCAGAGCTGGAGAGTTTTCATTTACTCTGTTGTTTGTTTGTTTGTTTGTTTGTTTTAGAGGGAGCTGGGAATCAAACTCTGAACTCCCTGCAAGCTAGACAAGTCACACTCCCAGTTCTCACCTCTTCCTTTCAATGTGCCAGACAAATTTTAAAAATCTACTTTAGAATTAAATTTGGGTTAGGATTAGAATTAAATTTGGGTTTTTCTTTAGCCTGCTATCTGGTCCTTTTTGCTCCAACCTGAAACATGTCAGCCATGGGAACCTTGCGCAAAAATCTATAGTGATATGATGGGTAGCCAGCTTAAATCAGAGTTTGATAAACAGCTCCCTTGAGAAGACCACCTATTTGGCATTCAAGAATGTTGGTATTAACATGAGGCCTGGTGGGTACACAGGATTACATCACACACACACACACACACACACACACACACACACACACACACACACCATAGATTTTTTTTTGTTTTTAAATTGGCATTTGGTCTAAGAGGGTGTCAAGGACATCCTGGAAAGGGAAGAAGCAGAAAGGCCAGCCAGCCGGAGAGGAAGCAGGAAGAAGAGGAAGCCACCATCACCAAGCCCTTAGGGCTTTGCTTCAAGTACAGATGGGTAAGCATCTGGGAGTATTCTCCACATCAGCCCACCAGGGGCCCTAGATTTGCAGGATGTGATGGAGCAGCAGGCTGGCTCAGTGCTCAGAGACGTGCTGTCCCTGCTTCCTGAAGCAGTTTTGAGTCCATTCTCTACAATTCCTGAGGTCGACATACCGGTTATCATGCTGTCCTCACGTGAAATGAAGAACTAGAACAAATATCTTTCTAAATAACCACTGGAGTGGCTTTCTCCTTGTGAAATGTCCTCAGCTATTCTAGATTCTGTCCCTAGTGTCCATCAGCTTTTCTGTAAGAAGCTGATGTCTCTGAGGCCCCATTTCTTAGATAGTGTGAGGGATTGTATTTATTCTAGCCTCTGAAGCAGGTGAAAAAATATTCCACTTCTGTCAGCAGAAGTGTTTGTGTCTCATTTTCAAGGAACATGTTTCTCAAGATTTTTCTTTTCTTGAATAGCAGAGCATCTCTTGGGATAATAGAGGGGGAAAGGAGCATGAACCCTGATATTCACTGACATTAATAATGTTTCAGGGACAGTCATGTATTAAATGCTCTTATCTATGGTGGCTGATAACTTTATTACAGTAGACATTTAAAGGATTGGAGATTGACATGATGCACAAAAAATATAATGGAAAAATACTGGGCTGCCAAAATCCTGTTTGTTTGAACTATTAAATATACATATATTTATATAAAGAGAAAAATATGAGGGGAGCCCCTCAAAATTTCAAACAAACAAAAATCTATACAAGCCTCTTAAACACTCCAGATTAAGCTCCAAGGAAACCTAAATAATCCTGGCCTAGGCTCAGGCCCAGTAATTCCAAGTGAAGAGCAGATAGGTGAGAGATGAGCTTGAACATCAAGAGCATTTTTTTTCCCTTCCAGAACCTCCCAGTTCTAGGGGACACTATAGCTCATATCTCTAGAATTTCTCTGTCTTCTCAGAATTCCAAAAGACTGAGCTGAGGTTTTTGTTCTGACTTGTAGAAATCTCTAGGCCTCCTGTTTTGTCTAGGAAGAATAGATAAAGTATATTTAGAAAGCATTTCATCAAATGTCCTTTTGGTCTTCTTCTCCAACCATAAGAAAGCCTTGGTAGAATTTGTCTTGGAGATCAACAGCACAGCCTCTGTCTCATCTTCAGAGAGGGAATTACTGTGTGTTTTGAGAATATGGAGACTAATGGCAGAGGAGGAAGGAGACAGCAAAGCTCCTTTCCTGATTCACAGATCTACATTTTAAAAGCTGGGAAAAGATATTTGACTCCTAACATGGTGAAACCTTTCAACAGGTATTTAATCCTCCAGGATGAACTGCCAGTTGTCTGCCTTTCGATCTGGCCCTGATTCATCAAAGCTTATGGAGGCTGTGACATCGTGGTAACCTGCTTGTCCACCTGACTATCAGGAATCATGCACTTGACACCTTCCACACGTCTTTGCACATCCCCCAAAGAACTAATTTCAACCCTGACGTGTTTCTACTGTCATTTTGTCTTAATTTTCTTGTTGTTGTTTTGTTTTCTCAAGACAGGGTTTTACTGCAAAGGCCTGGCTGTCCTGGAACTCACTCTGAAGATATGGCTGAAGACATCTCAAACTCAGAGATCTGCCTGCCACTGTCTCTCATCTCTCACACGCTGGAATTAAAGGTATGCATCACTATCACCTGGCTGCTTTAATTTAAAACAAAAACAAAACAACAACAACAACAAAAACCTTACCTTCACCTCCAAGCCAGTAAGACTCCTGTAGAAGGAAGTACCAGGGAAGAGGTGTTCCGTAGTCTCCTGAAAACAGGAAAGCAAGTGAAGAAAAACCAGCCTACTGCAACATGCAAGCCCTACAATAGGCCCCTCTAAATCTCAAATTATAGCTGTAGGTATGTTAGAATCACGCCATTATGTAGCTCCTGATACATAAGGCTATCCGACAGACTGTTTCTTTCAATAGCTTTCTTCTTTCCTTCCTTCCTTCCCTCCTTCCTTCCCTCTTTCCTTCCTTCCTTCCTTCCTTCCTTCCTTCCTTCCTTCCTTCCTTCCTTCTTCCTTCCTTCCTTCTTCCTTCCTTCTCTTCTTCCTCCTCCTTCTTTTTTTGAGGCCAGGTTTCTCTGTGTAGCCTTGGATGTCCTGGACTCACTTTGCAGACCAGTCTGGCCTCGAACTCACAAAAATTGGCCTGCCTCTGCCTCTGTGAGTGCTGGGATTAAAGGCATGAGCCACCACCACATCCAAGCTTTTCAATAAGTTTTCAATCAAAATAACCATCGGGTTTTTTGGGGGGTGTTACCAGCAACATTAACGATGATCTTGGTTGACATCAGTTTTCCAAGAAATGAATGCTATTAAAGAACTAAATCATGCCATTTTTAAAGCAGTTACCAGAAAACAGTAATGTTGCTGATTGTAAATATTTGCTAGACTCTATTTATTTAACGGGTATATTGTATACTTCCCATGTATTACATCATTGAATTCTGCAGGATGCAGAAACTGAGGTGCACGAACTTTGAGCCATCTGGCCCAGGCCATAGCAAATTAAATGGAAACGGAAGAATTCTATAACACCCTCAATCTAGTTATAATCTCACCATTCTTAACTCTTCCATGCCATCCTACTGGCTTCAGCTGTATTTTAAGGAAAACTGGCTCCCTACTTTCTAGCTCAGGTCTCTTGGTAACATTTTTCTCTCTAAAATGTTGATATTTATAAAAATGTGGATATTGAAAAAGGGGGGGCACCAGAGCCCCAGCTTCTTATCTCAAAATGTGGCCTTGTTTAGGAGGCAGGCGTGCTTAGCTGAGTTAGGTGGGGTCATGCTGGAGTGGGGTATTCCTAATGTAACAGCATATAGAGCCTTCAGAAGACAACAGTCATGAGGAGATTGGAACACAGGGAAAATGTCATGTGAAAATGGAGGATCAGAGCGATGTGCCTGCAAGCCAGGGAAAGCCAGAGGTGGGGAGCACAGCCTTCCCAACAGCTTCATTTCTGATTTCTAGCTTTCAGGCAATGAGGTAAATTCACCGCTCCCTTCTTGTGACTGTGAATACAACCTTGCAAGGTGCTTCAAGTTTCTGCCACCTTGACTTCATTTGCAGTGATCAACTGTAACTCAGATTGTAAATCAGATATATCATTCTCCCTCAAAACAACAACAAAAACCCTCTTTTATTTTAAGGCATACTATCCATGCTATCCATGGCCCTTGTTAATAAAAACTCTAGAAACTACATCTTCCTTCAATTGGAACATAACCCCAAGCTTCAGGACTTAGCCTAGCCATTTCTTCCATTCAGGATTGCTGCACAGTTTTGTTGTTTGCTTGATCTGGTTCTTTGTTTATGATAGGATCTCACTGTGCAACCCAGGCTGCACTTGGACTCACAGTCTACCACACCTGGTCCCGTCCATTCATTTCTGAGAACTATTAGCTTGTTCCTTTGAGGGACAAGGCCCATCCTCAGTCTCCCCTATCTGCTTTTAGCCATAGTGTCAAGAGCTAGACCCAGAAGTCATTGTATAGTGAAGGTTCCTGGTTGACATGGAGATGATTCAGATAAAGAGGAAACTTCTTCAGCTATAGAAAATGCTAATTTGAAGGAAAATCTGAGTTTCTACAAGGGAGATACAAAACTTTGCGAATGGCTAATTTTGACCCAGTCGCTGATTTTCCATGCTTCAGGTCAGTTAGACAGTGAGTCAGTGTCCACCAAATACCAAGCAATAGCCAGGGCTTCCAGGCCATCCCAGTGAAATAAACAGATCATGTTCATGCTCTCCTGGGCTCATGTCCTAGGACAGGTGGTAAGTCTGTAAACTCACACACCAGGTGACATTATGTCACATGATGCTAAAAAAAAAAAAAGTAGGATAAAGTGTTAGGGCTATGGAGGGAATGTTGGCCATATAATGACAAAGATCTAGTAGTCTTCAGTCTAGAGAGATCCCTGTGATACGGTGACATTTGAACAGAGACCCGAGAAGAGTGAAGGAGAGAGCCTGTGGATAGGAGGAATAGCCTGAGGAGAAAGGCATTGCTAGTGAAAACAACAGGCGTGAAGGTCCTGCAAAGGAAGTGAGCTCAGTGTGCTGAACTTCTGTGAGGAGGTCACAGTGAGTGGAGCAGACAGACATGGGGAAGAAGGGAAGGACAGGAGATGAAGGGGATAGTGGAAAGCAGATAACGAAGCTATGGCAGGCCCGGGTGGGCTTTATGCTCAGTGCGGGGAATGGACCATGAAGGGATGTGGACAGAGATGTTAACGCCATCTGCCTGTACTGGAAAAGGCTCCATCTGCATCCAGTGAGGAGGACAGAGCTGTGGGGGCGACAGTGGAAGGAGGTTTAGGATGGAAAAGTGGATCGCCGATGGCAAGGAAGCAGATTCTGCACTTCTTAATCTGTTTGCCTCTGTGTGTGTGTGTGTGTGTGTGTGTGTGTGTATGTGTGTGTGTGTGGTACACACATGTACACATATGTATGTGGATATACATACTCATCAGCATGAATGCAGAGGCTGGAGTTGTCTTCTTCTATCACTCTCCACCTGATTTCATTGAGATAGGATCATTTACCAAACCGGAAGCTGTTTTGGCTGGGCATGCCTGATAAAGAGCTCCTGTGATCCACTTGTCTCCACTTTCACAGCCACCTGGAGACATGCCCAGCTTTTATATGGGTTCTGGGGATTTGAACTCAGGTCCTCATGCTTGCACAGCAATTACTTTTGCCTACTGAGCCATCTCCGCAGCTTTAGTTCTAGACCTGTTTCTAAAGTGGAGACGATAATTCGCTGGTGGAGGTTTAACTTCTAGGTGTAAATTCTAATGCTGGCCCTGAGAGCTAACATTCGAATAGCTTAGAGGGGATCAAGCTTAAACTAGAGGATTGGGCCAGATCTCTGCATCTGATATTCTAATCCTCTTGACCATGGGGTGATAAAGCAGCCTTACTTCCCCTTGCTTACCTGGAAAAACCTGGTCAAGATACCAAGCAAGCAAACCGTACAGGGCAGCATCAAGAAGGATCATCTTCATGGACAGCAGGAAGCTGAACTCGTCCCCTTCCATGGGACTCTGCCCAATGTTGTGCCACTGCAGACCCAGGCCTTGCTCTTCAAAGCGAACCAGGTACTCGGTGCCAAACCCAAACGCCACTGGAGAGAGCAGGCTCTGCAATGAGCAGAGACAATAAGGGAAACAGACAATTTGGGCAGGAAAGGGAGATGACCAAAAAGGGTCTAGGTTGTGTCTGAGGTTAAGGCCCCACTTAGAGAGGGCTTAGATTGGTCTTTTCATGGGAATAAAATTCTAGAAAGGCTTGGTAGGCCTCAAAAGCTCCTACCTGATGCCTCATGAGCCACCGCTCACCTGGTCAATAGAATATAGTTAGGCTGCAATGGGATGATAAAGAAGCGACACGCGAGAAGTATGAGACCCCAAAGGAACTGAAGTTCCTGCTGTTCTCTCCCCCTGACTTCCCCTCTCCCTTCCACTTTCAGGAGACCACACAGTTCTGGGCAGAACAAAGATGCCAAATCGAGCTGCTTTGTGAGACTCCCAAAGGAAGGAGGCTCAAAGTCATCTTTTCCCCATGGCCAGCAAGGGCGCTAGGACTCATCTTAGGCTCTCTGTGCAGAAACTAGTCCACTGGCTAGAAAGACTGCAGAAGGAAGTCTGAAGAGGAAGTGCACCAGCCAAGTCGCCATGGGTGGTCCCTGACACATCAGAGCATGCTTTCCTTTGCTGGGAGGTTCTCTGTAATTTGGAGGACTCTGGATAGAGTTCAGACTATCTCTCAGCCAAAGGAAGGAACCCACTTGCTATATGTACACACACACACACACACACACACACACACACACACACACACACACTTAAAATTAAATCAACCCAGCTCTTATCTGTACTTGCCAGACCTGAAGCTTCCTGGTAGGTCGGAGAAGCTAACTGTGGCTTCCCAGTACCATGTAACAACCCTACGATTACCAAAATTACCCAGCTCTGCCCACAGCCTGAGTCACAAGAGTTTCTTACTATTATCCATTGTGATCGTCTCAGAAAACTGAGCTCTATAAATAGTGGCAATTAACTTCTGATTTAACATGAGAAATAAAAGGCAGATGCCCTGGAGTCAGAGTCCTGAGAACAGGTTCTTCTGGCAAAGGGGCAGCGGGTAGCCCTTACCCAGCACCTGAAAACTGCACCCTTTAGGGCTGAGGCTAATGAGAGGGTGCAAATAGCTCGCTTGAACACAATTAGAAAAAAGACCTGTGTTCATTTGGGAATCCTGAACTAAGAGGTCTCCCAAGCCATCAGAAGCCAGCTTCTAGAGTCTTCTCTTGGCCAGAGAGCCTAACAGTGGTGGCAGTGGGGCTCTAGCAAACACTGCTAGAACACAAGAAAGACACAGAGATTCTCTTAATCCGATATCCTTCAGAACAATGATTCCCGTCTTAATTAATGCACCCATCTTTCTGAGCAGACAGACATTGAGGGCGTTCCTCTCATCTGATGCTTCTCAAACAGGAAAAAAAGAAGGGTGCAGGGAATGGGTCAGCTGGTTCTCCTCTCATGCAGAAACAAAGGAAGGCAGGAGCGGACTCAGTTTCCCCATGGCTTCCCAGGGCACATTAGTCAAGCAGCGCCAGGCAGGCGTAACTGCGACCTTGCTCTAGGTGAAGGCTGCCTTCACTCCGGCTCCTAAACCAAGCTCTGTATTAGCCTTTCAAGCTTATGTCTTCTTGAGTCAAAAGGCAAAGTGGCCCTTCTTAGAGAGCAGGCCAAGAGGTCATGTACTCATCAGAGGACATCTATATCATAAGCTAGAGGTCAGCCCCGAGGGCCTCACCACAATCATCTTCAGGTCAGCTGTCAGCCGGTCCTGCCATGCAAAGCACAGGACGTGGGGTAGGTAGAGGGTGAAGTAGACGACCCCGCTGCAGGCTGCTGCAAGGCTGGCCTTGCAGAATAAAGTGCTAAGCAGGAAGCACTGCATGATCGTTGCGGTGGAGAAGGCCAATAGGAACAGGAAGAGAATGAAGGGATCGCTGTAATGGAGGATTCTTCCGTGCTGAAATCAAAGAGATCACACATATCAATAATTCTCACTCGTGCCCAGAGGCAGGGTTCCACTCAGGGGCCTGCCTGTGTGCAGTGATGCCAGAGCCTTCTGCTGCCCCGGAAGGGGCTCCTGCCTGGCAGTGCCTAGTGCTTAAACTTCCGCATGCACACTCAAAAGCATTGAGTTCTCTTGTCTTACCCATGCCAACACAACTGAGAAACCACCAGGCTGAGCCAGCTCCAGGGTTGTGGGCTCTCAACCAGTAAACCAAAACCCAATCACCAAGCAATTTAACCCATCAGCCACTGCCAAGTAACTTCTAAGCGGGGACTGTAACCAATGGAGATATTTTTCGTCCTGCTTCCCTGCTCCTTTAGTGGAGTCTTAGGCCACTTGTGGTCTAGAGTTGCCTGGTTCATGAAGCACTGATGATTGGTACTGTAAAGCTGGTCAAAAGGCCGTGATGGGGTAATAATAGGCCTCAGGTAAGAAGCTACTATCATTTTATCAAACTGTGCTCTAAATACCTACGTCTGTACCCAAAGACCTGTGTTGCCCTCAACTTTGGTCTAACAAGCTTCCTTTGCCCTGGGTAACAGTAACAGTTGATGCAAAGACAAAAAGTGGTCCAAGTGCCGAGTGTAAGTAACCCTGGGTGCTCAGCTGTGGGTGGGTCATCTCTAGCAACCTCCCACCGCACAGGGCTCGGGGAACTTCATGGCGGAGAGGGTGAGGAGAGGAATGAAAGAGCCGGCAGACGCAGAGACTGTGAAGTGCTGACTTCTGGCCGTGACGCAGCTGAGGTTATGTGCGCAAGACCCAGGCGGGCAACATTCCAGCATGGATGCAGAAGGGGCTCACAGGCCCCGCCCCATCAGAGCAGCTATCGGCAGCTCACGGCTACTGTCCTCTGGCATTTGGCTGGTGGTAGGTTGGTCGTGCCCCAGCGGATGTTTACACCTCTGTGTGCATATAGCTCTGACTAAGTGGACTCAGGGAAGTAGTATTACATAAAAATAAAAAAGAGGACATGAAGCTGGGAGGGACATGGAATGGGGGGGTCCTAAGGAGGGTTGGAAGCCGGTAGTCGTAGGTAGATACTGTCAATATACATTGTAGAAGAGTATGAAACGTTCAAAGAATAAAAAATTAAAAAAATAAAAATATCTCAATGTGCCCAAGTTAGTCTTCTAACGGTAACTATGGGTCAGCTCAGCAAGTTTACAGTGGGAAGGAGATAGTGTTCGGGCAGGGGAGGAGGGCCTGAGCACTAGGCCTTTCAATACCACGAGCACCCTGAAACAATATAGAAAAGGATATCCACGGCCAACAGGTCTGACCCTTTGCCTGGGCTCGGCCTGCTAACTCATCATTAGCGCTTGCTTTCTGAGGTTTGCCACTCACACGGGTGGAAACATCAGTAAAGGGTCCAGAGCCTTTGGAAATGGTCCTCCTCATCCACGGACGCTGTGCTTTTCAGAGAACCTATGTACAAGACCCAGTAGAAACAAACTAGGGACCTTTTCTGAACAAGCCCATTTACATTGCAGGATAGACTGAGGTGGTGTTCAACTGTATTAAGTCTTCTTCATCCTGTTTACTACAAGCCCCTATAAAGGGGTCAGCCCCTTTGTTCTTTTCAAATTCTGCTTTCCCAAGTACACACAGATCATCTCATTCTTTTCTCGGGAACACAGAGGTACAAGAATTCTGGGAGTATGTCTTAGGCTTCCGAGTCAATACTTGCTTGGCCACCTCCCGTATGTTCATGGGGTGCAGTTGAGTTGTGGTGTATTGGGGAATGAATGCAGACATGTCACACAGCACAGCACTCCTGAGACCTTCCTACATTTTTGTCCTTTTCCCTCCATCTTTTGGAACTGCCTCATCTCTAAACAGGCTCTGATCTACTGACAGGGATTCCCCGAATCACTACTTTCCTCTTAGTAGAAAAAGAGACCAATTAGTTATATCTGTCTTGAGCCCGTGAGAACCAAGTGGAACTAATGTGCGTCTTATCTCCCATGAACACCATTTCTCCTTCATGCTCTCGTGCCTGTTGGGCATTAAAGGAACAGATTGAAAACCAGATGAAGAGGAAATATGCAAAAGGGAGGGATGGACAGGAGCCACACTTAAGGCGAACCTAAATCTAAGGAAATCTAAATAGAGGTCACGACTGGACTGGAGGGTTTTTATTGTTCTCTGTAGAATGAATTCAAACTCTTAGCCAAGCCCAGAGCAAAGTCCTGCAAACATCTATACTGTGGAGTTTCTGGTGGTTTTCAAACAGGGGTGCCAGTCTTTCAGCTAGCCTCGCCATCTCCCTGTCCCAGCGTCCTCCAACAGCCACTTTCCTTTCTGCTCCTTGTAGACCAAATAACAATGGAACCTTCCCATTGTCCCTGCTCCCAGCTTCTTTCCTGCACAGTGGAGCTGGGGAGGAAGGGACATGGAAAAAAAGGTAGTGGGGGAGGGGGGGAGACATTCAAAGGAAAACCTTATTTTGGTGTGGAAAGCTCCGTTTCCGTCATTATTGGAACAGTGTTCTGGTTCCCACAAGGAGAAGCTTCTTTGTGCTAGAAGCTCTTGGTGAACATTCTCTGCCTCACGTCCAGAGAGCTTTGAAGTACTAAAAACCCATTCTTTGGAAGGCAGGTCTCTGTGTCACTTATCAGCAAGGAGTCAGGGCAAGCCTCAGCCATTTAACCAAGTTTACTTACTGGGTCCTTTAATTCTAAAGCTACAAAACATCTGCTGGTGAAAGGGCCTCCCCAACCAGGGTGTGGGGCAGAGCAGAGGGCCTCCGGGGGCTACTCCTCTCACCTCTGTGGAGCTTTGGTATTCTTTGTAAACATCAAGCCATGCTGGGTGAAGGGAGGTTGTTTGAATAGAATGACCCTCACCTAGGCACTGGTTTTAAGGTTTGATTCACACCATAGCTCACTGGCTCGTGGTGTAATAGCAGAGATAGAATGCCCTAGGTTAAGGACATTTGGCTAGAAAACCAGGGCAGGATTTGGATTAAACAGATATGTGTTGGCTGGACAAGATATATAATGGAACATTCTTAGATCAGGTACCCATGATCCAACATGGAATGGGAGACACTCATCCAGCCTACGGCCCACTCCACATATTGCTTCATGCAGAGTGACACTCGGTATGATGACAGTGACAAAGTCTGACAAGCTTGCCAAACCTATTTCAGACACCAGCTTCCATCCACTAAAACATCAAAAATCATCAAATGTGTGTGCTCAGATTCCAACATGTCCAAAAATCTGGACATGTAGGAAGGAGCTAAAAGTATAAAATGTGTAGGGTAGCAGTGTACTGTGAAACAATGTTCTGTTTTCAACTCTAGCTTTCAGGGAAGTCACAGACTTGCAGAAGATAGACTGACGAACGACATGGCACTAAAAACGCCCTATCGCTTAGAAAGGACAGGCTCCAAATTCCCTCTTTTAAAACAAAGTCCTTGGAGCTCTTTGCAGGCAGAAGGAGGTTGCTTCGTGAAGCTAGTGGCCTGGCCCTGAGGATGACTGACAAACTGTCCAGATCCCTTCCTCTCTTAACACCATCAATGTTTGCCACGTTCTAACCATAACCAGATATTGGGATGGTAATTCTAGAAAACACTCTTTAGAAGAGGCAACCTTTAACCACAACAGTTCCATACTGGGCTTTGCTAATAGCAGCCTCCACATGGTCATAAAATGGACTGGAAAAAATCTATGTAGACCACAAGTGACCCTCTTAGGCAGGAAGATGGAGATGGGAAGATGTCACAATACAATGGCTCTGGTGGAAGGGGGGGTGAAGGTACTGGCTCTTCAAGTGCTCTGCCTTGTTTGAAAGGCTGGGAAGCTACCTGTCTTGTTATCTTTAATGCTCAGATAACTAGTGCAGGCACACACTCTTTAACAGGAAGGGAGCAGGAACAGTGAGTGAAACCATTTAAGAAATGTCAGGGGCTTCTGCACCTGGCTTACCATGATGAACAGTGTCAGGAGGAAGATGCTCATTGACATGATAGAGAAGCTGTCCAGGAACCAGGTACACCAAATCACAGCATTAGAAACACCCTGGTTTTTCAAGGTTTCCTTCAGCCTTAGTTCCTTTTCCAAGACAATTCCCTTAACAGTCATGGAGACAGAGTAGATCCATGCCAGCACCATGAAGATGGGGAAACACCGATTCAGGATGATCATAAAACTAAAGTGAGAGGAAGGAAGCATAACAGAGCATTATGTACCTGGTAGAGATGAAGTAAATATTTGTTGAATGAAGAGTTGAGGATGAAGTCCAGAGGAAAGGAAAGGAAAGGAAAGGAAAGGAAAGGAAAGGAAAGGAAAGGAGAAAAATAAGGCATTAGACTTTCACTAGGCTGAACTCTATTCCATTTTCTCATTTGCCACAAGGAATGACTGTTTCTTTAGAGCAAGATAGTGCCTTTCCTGACGGCCCAGATGGATGCTGTCTATAAATAAAGTGTAGGAATAAAGCCACACCATCACTGTCATATAGTATAGACCTTCCCTGTAAAGGCTTGTGGGAAAGACTCTAGACCTGGTAATACAGGTGATTGGAACAAATCAGTGATCCAATAGCTACTGATTTCAGCAGCCATTCATAAGTGGAGAAGATCCCAGGATACGGTCTCAGCAAGCAGAACAGATTTGGCACAATGGAATCGCATTAGGCTAAGATTTACAGGTTTTCCCTGTGAATAATACACCAGTAAAGCCCTTGGGATTGTTATCTATTGAAACTCTTGGGTGTTGTCACAGGAAGGGCCCAATGCCAGCGTGGGAGGATAGTTTCACTCAAAATGGCCCTAGGGAGAGAACCAAGCAATCAAAAAGCATGCACCTCTGGGGTTGGCCACCAGGGGACTCTCCCATACTGAATGACCCCATTTCCCACTGCCTCTTCACACTTACCCTTTTCCCTGTCAGCCCCTCCTCTTCTGACCCTGAAAGTGGGCCTGGGCTTTTGCCCTTGGCTCTACTTCTCTGCTTCTTATCCAGAGGAAAAACTAACTGCTGAACAGGCTCTGTTATCTCTACAGTCTTCTGCAGAGCTGGGTAACTAATGGGGCCACAGTGTTGAGAGCCGCTGTCCTGTGAGCACTCCAGATTTTATTTTATAAGCTCTTCAGCCGGTAGCTACACTCTTCTCCAAGGTCTCCAGTCTCGGCTTCCCAGACCCCACAGCTATACACACAGGCTGTAGTGACTACCCCAGAGTTAAATTCCTAAGCCAACTGCAGGTCAGGGAGGGTTACTGACACCACAGTAATAAGCCTTCTGAGCCCCTCTCCCTCTCTGTCCCTTTCTCTCCCACTCCAAAATCTATTTTCAATGGTAAAGGCTGTTTGCTTAGCATATCACTAGCCAAAAGATGGACGGGCTTTAGGATGGGGGTGGTCAGAGAAGGAGGCCAGAGCTCATCCAACACATTCCTCTACTTTTTTTTTTCACCAAACGTACATCATAGGAATGTTAATTAGTGAACGAGCTGCATTATTCTGAGGCTCCTAGGTACCAGACCTACTTGCCATGCAGTCCGAATCTGCTGATCTGGCAATCACTGGGAAAATGCTCCTACCAGAACCCTTCCACATACCAAACAAAATACGAAGTGGAAATGTGAACAGCCAGCATCCCCAGCTTCAACCTCGCTCCTATTGTTTTAACCTCTAACTTCCCTTTTGTACCCCTAACCCTCTACCACTTTACTTTCTCCTCTGCTTCTGTCTGGAGCACAGGCCAGCAGCTTCTTCAGTTAGAATCCTAGTCTCCCCAGACTGGCCCCTGTCCCTGGGGTTCCTTCAGGAGATCCTGGAGCCCTGAGAGCACCCCCTACTTATTGCTTTTCAGCTCCTGGGACTCACGAGTCATCCACAAAGCAGGGATAAGGCATCTGCTGGAGATAGACTCCAATTGGAGGCTCTGCCTGAGTCTGGCTCTTTATGATTCCTTGCTCCACCATGTCCTGCAGATAGGCAAAGCCTCCCCAGATGTACCGGAAATCTTCGACAGGATCCGCCCTGGGACCAGAATCCCAGTACCTGAAAAGGCATAGGATGAAGGGAGAAAGAAATAAGTGGGAGATGGCCAACCCACTCACTCCATAATTCCCTACTTACCCTGGAACTCAGTCTCTTGACACATTCTTCTAAATCAGTGGTTCTCAGCCTTTCTAATGCTGTAACCCTTTAGTACAGTTCCTCATGTTGTGGTGACCCCCAACCATAAAATTATTTTCATAGCTATATTTTTGCTACTGTTATGGATTGTAATGTAAATATCAGTGTTTTCTGATGGTCTTAGGTGACCCCTGTGAAAGGGTCACGACCCACAGGTTGATAAAGGATGTCTTAAATGTTCCCAGACTATCCAGCTCCTCTTTGGATCACAGTGTTAACTCCAGCAATGACCATGACTCACAAGGTGATTGCTTCCATCTACTTGGACCGCACAAATCATACTTCCTCCCATTTAGCACACCTTCCTTGATATACAGACCGAATTTACCCTTAATCCTCTACTCTCTATCAAATGTAACTCTCTGTGGATTGTGGAGAAACCCTGCAAGACTGAACCATCACCTGTCTTTGATCTTATTGGTCTTCTCCACCACATCTATGTCCATCCGAATCTTGTACTTCACGTGGGGAGGTAGGGAGCTGGTCCAGGGATACATGTCAGGAAATACCACTCCAGCCCAGAACCTGTTTTCCTCCAGGAGAGACAGGGCTCTCTGGATGAGCTGAACTTCATCATCATAGCTTTCAAACTTATCCAGGACCAGACACTGCAGATGAACACAAAGGTGGAGATTCTGAGACCTAACTGTAAACAAAGAGGCAGAGGAAATTCTACTGCCCAAGGGATAGGTCCACCCATAAAAACACCTGCACGCTAAACATGTGTTCAACTCCAAGGTCCGCCATTAATTTCTTCATGTGCCTAGGTCCAGGGGTGCAAGGGCCCTGGAAATGATGACAGGCTCTTATCCCTGAAGAGTTAACCTCAGAGATCATGCTGCCCAGCTGTCCAAGGCAGTCCAAATATGCAAGTTCTCAAAAATGACACAAATACTCAAGGTTCTCACTCCCCAGCATGGGGAGGCGAGGGAGTGGGGTCATGGTGGACACAGGCTGCTTTGAAGATCAGAAAGCCTGAGGATAAAAGACTTTTAAAGAGAGAAACATTCCTGGCATTGAACCTCCCTGGCTCTCTCCAAAACACACAGGCTAGCCAGCTGTGGGATGGACTGGGAAGAAGAAAGCAAAGAAACAGAAGGCCAGAATGATTTCATCTGAGAAATCATTTTCATTTACAATTTTATGCTGAGTTACCTAACGTCTCTTGGAAGAGAGGGAGGAAAACATAGAAGAACAAAACTAAGAATTTCCTCTAAAAGGAGGATTGAGAGGTTGCCCACGTGTATAGACTTGCTGAAGTAATCATACTGTACTGGTCTTCGTTTCACCCTAAGGAGGTTGTGTCCATGATTCTTAGAATGTAACTCACAAGAGGGCAGATGGCCCTGTCTTGATTAATTTGTTCGATGAATATTTACGGAGTATATGTGACATACCAGAGCCTTCGTGGCTCCATGGGCACGAGGAGGGAAGATAACAATCTCTTCCTGAAACAAACTCAAACCCGATGAGGGAGAGATTGTAATAAACTAATAAGTTCAGGTCAGCATGATCAGGAAGGCTAGCCTAAAAGACCCAGGACATCCAGAGGAGGGCTTGGGTCTACTGGGAGGGATCAGAGAAGGCTACCTGGAGAAAGAGTCCAGAGCAAAAGGAGGATAGACAGGGAGGGAAAGAGAAGCTAGCCTGACCATGAGTGGCAGCACTCTTTGAGTACCTGCAAGAACAGAGCAGTGGTTTCCATCCTCCCTCAAGCTTCGGAGCACTGTCTAGCTTTAAAAAGACACCAGAGTCACTATTTCAGAATCTTGAGAGGCAAGGCCAGGGCCCTAGCATTTTGTTAAAAATAATAACAACAACAACAACAACGAAATAAGACAACAAACAAACCTCCCCAGGTAATCACCACACACAGGAACGAGCATCTCCTGAAACATGGTGAGTGGGGAGAACCGGATCCTTTGCTCTGCTGGATTTTGGAGTCTGGCTGACCAACCGAGGGGTTTCTTAGGACGTGAGCTTTCAGGCTAAGACCAGGAGAACTCTGTGGCCCACTGTGGGTTTCTGAGCAGAAGTATGATGTATGAGATCAGATAACCATAGGGGAGTGGCAAGGAGCATTAGGCTAGACTGTTGAGCAGACTCAGGCTTTAAAGAATGGTTAACTCCAGGAGAGCCTTGAAGTTGGGTGGAACCTTTGCTATGCTAAGAAAGAAGTTACAGCTGCGGAGACACTTCTGAACCAAGGGCAGACTGTGAAAGAACCAGCTCTCCAGCTCTGGCCTGGAGTTCCTCCTGGCACACCATCGCTCAGAGGCACGGCCTCCTCCACATCCAGCGCTGTGTGGCTGATGGGTGGATCCCTCCGTGTGTTCTGACGGCTGAACAATGAGCAGTGTTTGCCCTCACCTGATAACCCAGGAGAGTTAGGCTCTAGAGCAGTGGTTCTCAGCATGTGGGGGACAGCCCCCTCAGGGCCACATACCAGATATCCTGAACATTAGATATTTATATTACAGTCCAGAACAGTGACACCATTACAGTTATGAAGTCCAACAAAATAATTTTATGGCTGGGATCGCCACAATATGAAGAAACGTATGAAAGGGTCACGGTGTTAGGAAGGTCGAGAGCCACTGCTCCAGAGGACTGAAAACTTCCAGGAAGTGGTAGGAGGAGCATCAGGCCCCTAGTCAGGAGAAATTAAGAAACCGGAAACACAAGTACCAGGGAGCTAAGCTCTACTGTCCTGGCAAAAAGCAGGCAGACCCAGCGTGTTCACTGCAAACCCCTTACTTCTACTCCAGAGTATGAGAACAAAAGTCTTTGCAAGGGGCTGTATTTGAACACGAAGGTGTTACAAACCCACCCTCACTGGGTTTTCTGAACTGAGTTGTCCTGCTTACGCTCCACTCCCTGGGAGAGGGTCCCATGTGGTAGTCTTGGGGTTCTAGATAAAAGAAGAGAAAACAAAGCAATCTACTTTCTAGCTGACACGGGCAGGAGAAACACAGGTGTGTGCGAACGTCAGCAGGGCCAAGGCTTAAAAGGCTTGTAATGTTAAAAGCAAATTGCCCTGGGATTTCTTTAAGAAATACGAGTAAGAGTAGACACATCACAGAGCAAGAGGAAGCAGGTTTTCTTCAGTCAAACATTGTCTTGCAAACAGGACTTACTCACTAAGCTTAACACTGGCCAGTCCTAAAACAAGACAAAGGACTTTAGTACATCACATACCAGTGAGTTTCCGTGTCTTCCGGGCAGAAGCAGCTTATACTCTGTTTATAGGCTCTTACAACAGCTGGAGAAGCCAGCCTGCAGCTGGTTTGTTAGTAATTGGCACAGCACCCCTATGGGAGACAGCTTAGCAGTTGCTGCTTGGTGGAGGATGCTCTCTTTGGGACTGAGGGGCTGCAGTGAGTTAACAAAATACATGTTTACTATCTGGGCAGCGGTGGCACACGCCTGTAATTCCCGCACTCGGGAGGCAGAGGCAGGCTGATCTCTGTGAGTTCGAGGCCAGCCTGGTCTACAAAGCAAGTTTCAGGACAGCCGGGGCTCTGTTACACAAAGAAACCCTCTCTTGAAAAACAAAATAATAAACAAAAAGATTTACCTGTGGAGGTGAAAGCTGTTTTAAGCAGTTTCTCATGGATATGGCACAGAGAACGTTCTTACCAATTCAGCATAACAAGGCCCTGAGATGAAATGTCTTAGAGGTCTGTGGTCTGATCTCCTCACTTTACCAGAAACAAACGGGACCACAGGTATGAAGGACCTTGTCTTATTTCAACACTAGTCAGAGGTAAAATCTGCATGTATGGCCTCAGTGTGGGCCTTGGATGTTCCAGTGTGTGCATGGGTGTTCCTCATTGTTACTTGAGACTAAGCCATATGCCATCCACAAAATCCTGACATTACTGGAACACTCTTGCCTTACAGCCACAGTGTCTAGTGAAATTTTCTGCAGTGGTTGTCTTGTTCTCTATCTACCCTGACCAATATGTTGGCCAGCGACCACAAGTGGCTATCGAATGTGAAAGATTTCATGAATGCCATCGTAAGCATTGAGTCTTCAGTTTCATGGGTCAGCACAGCCCCAGTAGTAATAAGTCCCTTTAGGGCAGGGCTATGTTCTGTTCAATGTGTTCTCTGGAAGACCATTTTCCCATGCTAGGGAGTCAACCAGTGTTTTCTGAACTGAATTGGTTTCAATTTGCAAGACCCTGGTGCTGCAAGTATAGCTGTACCTCTAAGCTTTGAACAAAAATCCATCTCTTTAAGACTCATGAAAAACTAGCAGCAATCCATAAAATGACTTTTGGCCATGATGCAATTAGGCTCTCACTCTTGGAGGGAAAAGAGCTGATGTAAACAAATACAGTGTTAGTAACGTGACTTCCAGGGCTATCCGGTTCGTTCTCTTTGAACCTTATATCTTAATATTCTGGGATAAACAGCTGATGTTTTCAGTGATATTGTTGACTCCTGTGATGACGTGGGCGCCATCCTGGCTGTTTAACCAGGCAGCTGATTCATAGTCATATTTCCTGATGTATTTTCCTAGTTGGGAACCTTGATACTCTGAAAAACATAAAATTTAGCAGGTTCTCAAATGCTCCCTTCTGTTCTAAGACACCCGAGCCATTTTATTTTTCATCACTTTGGGAAGAGGCACAGTGCAGTGTTGGGGTCTGACCTTCTTCTCTGCCACTTCCTCTTGCTGGCCGTCCTCTAGGCCACCCTCTCTTGCCGTTTCATAATTGTGGCTCCTGCTGCCCCCACTGAAATCTGAGCTGTGCCCAACCTCAGAGGTTCATCCTAAGGATCACATGAGGCAGTGTGTTTCTAAAGGCCTCCAGGGGTGCCTCACGGTAAGAATAAAAAGCTGGGTTAGAAGCTCAAGGCCCTGGGTCTGCTTTCCAACATGACCAGAGTATCACAAAAAATAAACAGCAATGACAAATACTGATGGTTTACTTCATGCCCCAAACTAGTCCAACGGCTTTATTCATGTGAAGACATTTCATCTCTACAACACATGCAGGTCAGTTACTATGGTCATTCAAAGCCCACTTATAAGATGCACTGAAAAATAACTGACCCTACCCCCACCCCAGGGCAGACTCTGTTTTCATCCACTACAATACACTGCACTGTCTCACAAATAATGAGGGCTTTATAAATACCATTTTACTGTTGTTTTTGTAAAATGGCTTTGAACATCAGCAATCAAGTGCCTTTCAAGTTCCTGCCAGGTCAGTCTTCATTAATGACAGTTGTTCATGAGGGAGGAGAGAGGTTACTTTCTTCAAACAATCTGTCTGAGGACACAAAGTGTCCTGAGTTAATCCATAGCACTCCGCCTGGCCAGAACAAGGCTATGGACAGAAGCTAAAGCCACCTGGGCAACGGGAGAGGATGGTGGGTGCTATTTATTAGCTGTTCATTGGGTGAGGTTCCTCCGCTGCTGCCTACAGGAAGGATAAAACCAAACATGAATATCATCTTGCCCTCACCAGACTTTCTTGATGAGGTCAAGCTGTAGAAGCTGCTTTGAATGTGAGTCAGAAGCCCCCAAGTGTTCCTTTGAGGAGTGATTCACAATGCATTCTCTAGGGGAAGCCATTTGCCTCACAGCAAGTGA